ACCAACAGTACCTCAAGCACTACCCTTAGAAAATTCCTTGCCATTCAGTGAATTGGAGGGCTAAAACAATAATGTTGATTCAATTGCAGATTAGTGGGTGGACAGTTATACTTAGAAAATTAACATAAAAAATCAGGCGTTTTTGTCAAAAACAACTGAATTGGTCAAAAAGGGTTCCTGAATCTCCGGCTCTTTATTGCATACATTCGTCATTTATTTCTGCTTGTACCAGGTCGTCGCATCCGGATCGTTTGGCTCCTGCTTGCACCAGGAGGTTGTCGCATCTTGCTCCTTTCTGCACGGCTCATGTTTGCTCCAGGTCATCTTGCTAGTCGTCTCTGTCTTGGTCGTGTTTCTGCTGGTTCCGAACGCATTTTTTATTGTAATTCGTCTCGTCGTCTGCCTCATCGTCGTTGTTGTGATACTGTCTAGTTGCACGGACGTGGACTGAATTAATGGGGCTAGTGCTAAAACAGTTTGAATATGAAATCTAAAATTAGACAGATTGTTGGGTTTGTATCCTACTTGAAAAGCAAACATATTCACTCACTTTCATTATCGCCAATTTTATCCTCGCAGGTCGAACTCACGGCTCTTATCCTGTCCCAGCATGCAGGCGACATCAAATGCTCTGCAGTTCTGTAGCAGTCGCTGAAACCCTACGAGCCACAGAGCATTCAAATCAATTTCTTCACTGTCGCCTCCATCTCCTCGCATCGTTTTTCAGTAACATGGCGGTCCATGTTACTTTCTTGCAAAAATTGTAGGTCGCACTCTATGAAGAACAAAAAATCAAAATCAGCCAAGGATTAAAAAAAGAAATTTGAATAAATGGAATTTTTTCCTTCGATCCCCCGCCCCCACCAGCAAAATTTTTTGAGTGAAACTTTTTTCACAGTATCGGATTGTTACAAAAATGGTATGCAGACAAAATTAGGCTATGACATCGTTAGCCCTTGTTACAAAAGCATCCTTCACAACCTAAAATTGATTCAAATGTGATGTTGGCAGAAACGGAAAAAAGCAAAAAGCCAATAATTTGAATGGATTCCGGAAAATCTTAAGCTCTGTCATTTGACTCCAGCATCGAATCTTGGAACAATGCCACATCAATTTTGTGAAAATAGCCCTTTAGGATGTGAAACTGGTACATCAATTGTGAAAAGTGAACGAGAATTGTGAATAGGATTGTGAAATGCGAGCCTTAAATTTTATTAAGATATAATTTTAAAAAATGTGTTTTAGGCCACGATAATTTTGATACACGTTTACTTCGTTGGGTGTTAGAAAAAAAATGCACTGCCAAGGATTTGATCCACCTAACCGTGGTTTGTAACCATGTTTTTTACCTCTCGGCCAACAGACCCGTTAACAGATTTATATAAACGTAACGTAAACTGAAAAAAAGTAGAAATGAAATGCGTTGTTTTTTTTGCAAATTAGTTGTAAGAGTTTATCTGAGATGCAAGACCATTTTATTACCCCAGCTTGAAAGCTGTATGAAGAAAAAAACACTTGAAAAAAATGAGTAAAAATCATGATAACTTGCTTTTGCATTCGAAGCTAGTCATATCGGATTGATCGGTATTGATGATTTGGAAATCAAATCGAAATTAAAACAAATCAGATCTGAAAATAAATTAATCTTAATTTGAATTAAATACGAACATCATGTGGGATCAACCACCGTGCAATCTCTCCACCTAAATGACCTAGCATAGAGCCCCCTTTTCTCCTTTTGGACCTTTTGTATTACTAAATATTTATATAGAAAATACATCAAGAATTTCATTTAAAATTTTATCTGAAAATTGACTTTAACTTTTTTCTGAAAAACCAGTTTTGGATCTTTGTAACTATTTTCCTCACTATGGTACTTTGTAAAGAAAAACCCCCATGAAGAAAAAAATTAACGTGTAAGCATAAAAAAATTTTGCACCTTTTAATTTTTTTCTCCACTATTGCAGAAGGGGAGAAATACTTAAGAAGATCCCCAGTTTTTAACCCCTCCAAATCGATTGAGGGGAATGTATGGTTGATCCGCAAATGTATTGGCTTTTTCCAGTAGTTGAGGTTTTGCAGAAATTCAACAAACTACCGATTTCGCCCATATATATTTGATTTTTTAGCTCCAAGTTCGTTTTAGGTTTTCATTCAAAATATTGATTTTTTCTCTTTGAGTTAAAATTTGTACTGTAATTGGAAGGAACTTTTCAGTATTTGAGATTGATTTGAACTGCAACACAAACTATTGTCGGTATTTGAAACTTTGCAAAATTAGAACAAACTTTTTAGAGTTTAGGACGGGCAATAGACTAAACTGCGACCTTACACATGAGAATTCCTGTCATTATTTGAAATTTTGCAAAACTAGAACGAATTATTTTAGTATTTGGAAGCAAATCGGAAGCGAATTGAATTTATGTAGATTATGTCTGTAGAGGGTATTAAAAATGTGAAATACGAAAGTTTTTGCACATTTGTGCACCATCGACTTAAAATAAGTAGAAATTTAAAGAAATTATTATCTAAAAAAATCTCACTTTACTTCAATTTGGCCATATTGGGATTCTCATGTAGATTCAATTGAATTTTGTATCTGAACTGCAAGTTCGCCACGAGCATTAGCCCGTGTCGGCTTGCTAATTAATGATTCTGGTCAATACGTGACTTTGTTCTCCTTAACATTTTTCTGTTGTAACGTTCGCTCGGAAGTACAGACCGACGGAAAATAAAGCTGGGTCCTAAAACGGCTGGCTAGCGTATAAACACAGCTTCACATGCTTTTCACCGTCTCTACCAGAACCAGTTCAATGTGTGGTCCATTAACATCCGGTCGACAAAATTGTTACTATTCAGGGCTATCGAGCAGACCGCAAAAAATAACTTAGTTGCATGCAAAAATAGTGAGCTCATGGCTGGGTCTCAGTATTTCCAGACCACGAGGTCACTCTTAAAAACAGGGCTACTACTGATTATCAAATTACTTTTTTTGTTCAGTAAATAAAAATCATCATATCCATCGGAGATGGATCAACCCTTTTCCTTAACTTCTAGTTTCTCATATTCTGAAAAACGAACAAGATGATAATTAAAATCAATTCAGGACACCAGGAAGCCAAGAATTGTTTAAAAACCAGTTTCAGTCTCTTCCCAACACCCTTCCGGTTTCTTGAAACTGGTCAAACAGCGGTCTTGTTGCGGTCCAGGAGGGGTAGTAAAATCTTCACAATACCTCTCCAAATTCTCGGGAACTGCTCCGTAAAGATTGTAGCAGTACAATCGCTACAATTTGGATAGTCTCGATTGTAATTTCAATATAGTTTTTGCCTTTTGTTTCTTCTTTGTCGAGAGGCGTTGTTGTTTCTACTAGCGAAAATCGTTCTTCTGATTTTCGCGCATTTTCAGTTACTGCGAATTTTCAAGATTGTTAAGTGTCTTTAAATTTGAACGAATTTTTGAGATTAATTTCGTCACTGCAAATTGACCTCTCCTAATCCGTCAAATTGAACGAGTGACACTGTAAACTCATCGAAACAACCAATTTTCTCACTTGGCTGCCGCTAATAAAATTTCGTTGTTGACAAGCCTTTTGACCGCCATTCGTGTCGAATGTCACATGTGCGGCTTCCATGGAGCGGTCCAGCTTGCATTCAATTTGTTTGCATCGACTTTCGGCCAATTCCTATCGACCCTCGGCTTTCATTGAATTATTCGAGACACAATTCTCACGCGTCCACTCTGGTTTTCATTTTGATCTGATGACAGTATAATCGTTTTTGGATTCTCCAACGCAACAGGAATGCATCCAAAACTTTTTTATGTTCACATGTGACATTCGACCAGGATGTACGAAAATGCAGTTTCGCATTCGAATTTTTATCGACCAGAAAAAGAACATCTGACCTAGAAGATTGATGGTTTTAACGGATTAGCGACGTTATTTGAACGATTAGACGAATTGAGAAGGGTTAGTTTTAACTGACATGCTAATTTTAAAAATTTCGATTTTGACGTCAACGACACGTAACCTTTTTATATTTCATACACACTGAAACGGCGAAACAGAACAACAATAGTTGCAGTGTGAACAACTACGAGAAACTTACTGTTATATATTAACTTTTGGCCTCCTGGTCATGTCCTGAGTTGAATTTAATTAACATACCGAATCATTTTCAGAGAATGAGAAGCTAGGATGAGGGATAGGGTTGATCCATCTTCGATAGCGATGATGATTTTTATCTACTGAACAAAAACAATAGAAATATAATAAATAGTAGTAGCCATGTTTTTAGGAGTGACCTCGTGGTCTGGGGATACTGATACCCAGCCATGAGCTCACTATTCTTGCATATAATTAAGTTAATTAGAGTATTTTGACACTAGCCAGAAGCAGTAACGTTTTGTCGACCCGATGTTACGAAGACCACCAAAAGAACTGTCTGTGGCAGAGACGGTGAAAAGTATGTAGAGCTGTGTTTAGGCGCTAGCCAGTCGTTTTAGAACCTAGCTTTAATTTCCGTCGATTTGTACTTCCGGGCGAATGTTACAACACTGAATCCTAGTTATTACCGTTTTTTTACTCGTTGCACACGCTTCAGTCGAGTCGCTCGTCGATCCAGTCCGTCGTCGATGTCCTTCTCTGGCACCGATATCTTTTATTTTGCACCCTTTGCTTGGTGGTAACGAATACGCCTAGGACGGCAAAAGTCCTTACTTCGAATGTGACCAGGTTCTGTTGTTCAAAGGGTAACTGTTCCGGTTCAAAAAAATTTCGGTCTGTTATTTTTCTGCTTTTTTGTTTTCTACTTTATTGCCACATCTAAGTATCGTTTATTTAAGCTGTAAACAATTTTAACTGCAGATGTTTTTAGTGTTTTTGTGAATAAGGCTGAATCTAATTTTGCTTTTTTGATGTTGTAATTTTACCAGCTCGATTTGTTAATATTTCACTTTCTTCATCTACTGAACAATATTTCACTTTTTAATTGTTGTCATAAACTTATTAAATAGTTTCCGGTATTATGGATGCGGAAGCTGTCTGAAATCACACGAGGAGCAGAATGGCCAGTCAAGTCACTAGCCGGACACGCCTGGGGTCCGCCAGGAATCGACAAGATGCTGTGACACCACATACAACTGGCAGTACTGATGATGAACGACAAGAAAACATCGGCGAAAAGTGCCGTCAGCCCGACTGCACTGGACGCGGTGTATCCTGGATTGGGTGTGATATCGAGACGGGGTGCGGCCGTTGGTACCATTTCTACTGCGTTGACTTGCCTCGGGCAGATGAACCGGAGAGATATCACTGCCCCTCTGATTTCATTGGTAAAATTAATTTATAATATGATAAATGTGTGCATTGGAAGAAAAACCTCTTGGACATCCCACATGGCAATGCTGCGAAAGATCTCAAACGTGAACTCTCAAGCATATTGAACCATTTTATTCATAAAACGTGCTATGAATTTATATCGTTAAAAGCTTTTCATGTACTTCTGTGTCTAGCCCTGCAGAAACCATCCAAAACCTCCAAAGCGAAAGATCATGTATTGTACTTGGAGAAACGTGTTCGGTGGTGGAGAGAGGGTTAGATGGACATGTTGTTTAATGAAGGTGCCGCTATCCAGGGGGAGATGAAAGTTTCAAACGCAACAAACATAACAAAGGCCTTCGCAAATTTAGTTCTTCAAGGTTAATTGTCTGCTGCTTTGAAACTGCTGAGTGAGTCCGACTCTGGTGCACCTCTGCTTATTAACAAAGAAAATCGGCAGAAGATCGCTAAGTTACATCCAGACGCGGCAGAACCATCGCCCGGGGAGCTACTGAATGGTGATATTCCCGCTGTTGATCCAGTGGTGTACGCAACCATCGATGGAGACTCGATATATCGCTCTGCGCTGGGTACGAGAGGCTCTCCAGGTCCTTCTGGGGTTTCAGCTGAGCATATGCGCACCCTTCTTTGCTCAAAGAAGCACCGTGCAGAGTCTGAGCATCTGTGCGCAGACGTCTCGCTGGTCGCTAGACGTATTTGTACCGAGAACTAGATCCTCGCGCGCTTGAGTCATTTATATCTTGTCGCGAAATAGCCCTACCCAAAGATTCAACAGGTGGAATAAGACCCATTGGCATCGGTGAGGTACTTCGTAGAATCATTGGCAAGTCAACAACACGACAATTTAGCAAAGACATCGCAACCACTGCTGGCCTTCATCAGTTATGTGCGGGTCGTGATGGGGGAGTGGAGGCGACGATACACGCAGCGCAAGAACTGTTCAGAGCAGAAGAATCTGAAGCTGCCCTTCTTGTGGATGCAACCAACGCCTTCAATAGTCTCAATCGTAAAACGGCCCTCTACAATATACAGCTGCTATGCCCTAAAATTTCGCGCTTCATTATCAACGCCTATCGAAGACCGGCGCGCCTCATACTCAATAACGGAATGGAAATCACTTCTCGTGAAGAAACGACACAAGGCAATAATCCTGCCATGGCTTTTTATGCGGTTAGTATTAAGCCTCTGATTGACCGTCTGAAAACCCACCTCTGCCATCAACCATGGTTTGCTGACGACGCCGCCTCGATCGGAAAACTGCAACATGTTAAAGCTGGTGGGAGTCATTGTTGTCACTGGGCCCTAGATATGGATAGTACCCAAGACCAGACAAGTGCTGGCTGATATTAAAAGATGAATTGTCCAAGAAAGTAGCTTCAGACCTTTTCGCTAGTTCAAAAGTTAACATTACCACGGAGTGCCACCGATATATCGGGGGAACATTAGGTTCGGCGCAGTTTAAACAGCAGTACGTTGGGAAACTGATTGAGGAGTGGGTCATACAGATCGATAAGTTAAGCGAAATGGCGACTCGCGAACCACATCTTTCTTATGCTGTTTCTTAAAGTCATGCAGAGCAAGTGGTCGTTCGCCATGCGCACCATTCGCGGCATCGACGACGGTTTAACTAAATTAGAGGTCCACATATGTTATTTCCTAGAAAAGATTTTGGGCAGAACCATCACTGACTTTGAGCGCAGAGTTTTAGCGTTGCCCTGCAAAATAGGAGGTCTAGGCGTTTTCATTCCCCTTACGCGAGCGGAACGAGAGCACGAGAACTCGAAACAGTTGTGCACGAGATTAACGAGCGCTGTTATCGAGAAATGCGAGCTACCACAGAAGCGCGCAAAGCCATCAGAAAACGGAACGAAGAACACGCTAAGTCAGAATTGAATCTAATATTGCAAGAAGCCACGCCGTCTCTAAGGTGAGCCTTGGAGGTGCTCCAGCCAAAGGGAACATCAACTTGGCTGTCTTGCATGCCGTCCAGAGAACACGGTTTCTACTTTAACAGCGATGAATTCAGACATTGTCTGAATTTGCGATATGAGTGGCCACTTGTCAACATGGCCACGAAGTGTGAATGTGGACAAAATAACAGCATTGACCACTCATTAAGTTGTAAGCTAGGTGGCTTTGTTATTATGCGCCATAACTGCGTCCGGGATCTCTTTGCTGATGTTCTTAATAGTGTATGTAAAGATGTAAGCATTGAGCCTCCGCTAATTTCCCTGACCGATGAGGAAAAAATTACTATTCGGGGAAAAATTGAAGAAGGCGCTCGTCTCGATATCGCGTGCAGGTCTTTCTGGACGCCAATGCAAAAATCGATGTACGACGTCAGAGTGACCCACATCAACTCACCATCGAACCGTGGTAAGCCGGTTAAAACAATTCTTGCCGACCACGAGAAGATGAAGAAATCTGCATACCTAGAACGGGTTCAGAAAGTGGAGCATGACAGTTTCACCCCCTTGTCTTTGCTACTAATGGAGCAATGGGTGAAGAGGCCGATCACTTTTGTACTGTTCTAGCGGAGAAACTTTGCTCTAAGAATGGCTGCTCTTACGCTGATAATAAGAACTATATAAGAAAGCGCCTGAGTTTTACCGTCATCAAGTCCGCTCTGATAGCCCTACGCGGTAAAAAGAAAATGAGAGATTCTCCAGTAAGAATGGTGGATGCTGATGTAAATATTCTCAATTCCCGATAGTCTGTCTTTTAGTTCACTCTCTCCTAGATGCGCCTTTCTTCTGTTCTTTCCCGTGTCGTCCTTCTTGTCCCTCTGCTATAGATTTCCCTCAACCCAGTTCCATGTCCATCAGTGTCTATCGCCCGCTCTACTTCCATCTGTTCATGGTTCCCGAGTACCACAACTCGGCCTGTCGTTGCACACCGTTTTGGATGGTTTGATGCTGTGCATTTTTACTATATTGAAATTGTCTGTATCGTTCTGTATTTTTCAGATACAAATTTTAATTAACTGTTGAACCTTTAAAAAAATATATTTCACTTTTTTGTTAAAATTTCACTTTTTTCGTGTGAGCTCTGAGGGGAAAGGGACTTTTTTTATAAGTTAAGAACTTTTCTGAAATTCTTTTCTGCATGAAGGGTCTCTGTTGAGATTATTTCGGCTTTGTTACCTCCTGGTAATAACAAATTCAAATCCAATCAACCATCCGGTGCATCTGGCGTAGAGGTAAAACAACTGCTTGAGACGGCAACTATTTGCGGTTGGAATCAGGTAGGGCCCTTTTTGCAAACTAGAGCTTTTGTGCATTTTCGGACTATCGTCCGTCTGCTTAATTTTTTTCGGCTAATTTTCCGTAGCTCGATGGTTGAGCTGTATTCCAGGTTGCTGTAACCCCAATGTTTGAAATGAGAAAACCCGGGAGTTCGATTCTAGTTCCAGTTGAGACTTGTTTTTCTTGCAATTAGAACAATTTGGCTAATTTTAATGTCTGTCTGCTTACCCGTACCGAACTTTTTGGCCATAATCATATCTGATCATTGTAAAATCATGCAAAATTCATGTCTGTAACAGATGTGCAGCATGTCTATATTCGGCATGCACATACCTGCATCAGACCTGCATCAGGTGTGCTAACTGAAGATATGCTCACACCTGCAGCATGCATGATCATGCCTGAACTGAACATGCTCACACCTGCATGATACATGATCATACCTGAACTAAACATGCTCACACCTGCAGGATACATGATCATACCTGAACTAAACATGCTCACATCTGCAGGATACATGGCCATGCCTGAACCGAATATGCTCAAATCGGTATCTTCAGTATTATAAGATAATTAAAGAAATGGTTAAATTGTAACAACATCATAAACTCAGCTTGATAATGTGACACTTTACTTCAAATTTTTAGTTTTTTTTCAAATTTTTTCTGACATCGGTGAAGTTTTTTTTTTGAAAATTTACTGTAGTCGTTAGATGCATCTTTCTTTAATTGCCAGCAGGGAGTCGTTAGTAGCGGGGCATGTGGATACTTTTCTCTGTTTCCTGTCAACATAAAACTAATTGTTAGTCAAAACTTCATCACTTTAAATAAATGCTTAACAAATAAAGTTAGACAAAAATCATGCGTTAAAAAGTAGTCGCACATTTGTTGTTAATTTATTCAATGAGATCATCAGTATCAACCAATCAAATCTTTTTAATTTATTCGCAATTATTGCGGCTACTGGTTCGCGAAAATTGAAGGATTATTGGCCAAAAAATTTTGTGACGAATTGCTTCAATTCAATGCTTTATAGTTCAAACCGGGGATTCTTAGTTTTTTCGACTATCCCTCCCGTTGATCCCCTGAAACTAACCTGACGTCCTCTTTTTTGGGATGTAGATGCGACATAATTTTCTTCATTTGAAGATATTTGACTCGAGGAGGTAAATTTGGATAAGCTCATTTCAAAAAAAATCTGAAAAAGTGAATTTTTAACAACAAAGACCAATTAGTCAAGATACGAAGTGAATTTGTCAAGTTTTCAGTCAGTCGTTATCATGTCTGCGACAGGTATGAACATGTTTCACTCAGGTCTGATCATGTAAGATCCAGGTACGACCACGTCTGTAGAAAAATACGCATGCTCACTTGTGAACAGCCCTGCATAATGGGGGAACAGTCCTGAGAATATTCTCTCCCCTGCTAAATGGATGATCAGCCGTGAAATGGCACAAAAAGTTCAGTACGGGTATTATCTGCTTAGTTCCGCAGAAAGGCCTATTTTTCGAAAAGTTGGCTTCTATTTAGCTTTCTCAAAGCTCTTTGTAAAGTTTTCTATGGTGCAGGCGATTTTGTTCCGGATATTTTGGGCTTTTGTAGGATTTTTTACTGACAAAAACGACTTTTTGAATTTTTTTAGTTTGAATTTCATAGCCATTCATATTTGTATCACAAGTAGTGCGAAGCTCAGCTTCGCCTCGGTTGTGTGAAACGTTCCTTTGCCACCGAGATGTTTTTCTATTCAAGAAAATTTTCACAAATAAGCTGGTGTTATCGTAATTTTGGAATTTTCCATCAATGTTATTTATGAAAAGTTCGAAAAAACGAAAAGCTACTGTTTTCTAGCAACGACCTCTGTATTCTAACAAGAACCTCTGTTCTAGTAATGATGTCTGTTTGAGGCAGGACTTCCAACGACCTAATCGATTAGAAGTAGAAACTTTGCACTGTCGACACTAGCAACCCTTTTTCGGGTTTTCAACATTACATAGGATTATAACTCTGATGATGGTTAATGGTACCTGATTTACCGTGGAAAAAGCTAAAAAAAAAACAACTAAAACACACCTGATGACTAAGTGTCTCAATGGTCAGAACAACAAGTGATTACTACTTTTCTCTCCTTAAAAACTTCATTCGGATAAAATACAGCTTTTAAGGAAGGAATCATGATCATTGAAAAGGCAAAAAAATGGTTTGAGTTGTAATTTCAGGATGAACTATGGGAGTGATAACAGAAGCTTGTGTATCTGAATTACCGTAATCGAAATTTGATTTTCAGACAGTTTGTGGGTAATGAAAAATAGGACCATACATTTTACCAATCAAAACTTAAATGGGCGTAGTTTTAGAAAAAAATGTGTTAAGACTTTTCAGTAAAAATGAAACCGGTCGTAAGAAAAAAACTTGCTCCGATGGATTTGCCGGATAGTCTGACGAGTAACGCGGATGAATTCAGAGATTCTGATAATTTTTTGGATCCAAATCTTGTCAATGTCATCCCACTGTCGGTAGTTGGTGCTTCTGGTGTTAATCGTAGAAATGAATATGACAACAAGTCATCAAGGGCCTCCAATGATTCACCATCATTGACTCAGAGTCTGTCCACTACTGAAAGGGACAAGGCTTCGAGGTTCACCAATCATGCAGGAGTTCCAAGAATTGTAAACAAGTCAATGAAATGGCAGAAAAACGATATCAAAATTGAGCACATTGCCCCCAAAAAGTCTGATCCCAAGCAGTCGAGTGACCGTAAAAAAGATAAAGCAGAGTTCTCAATTGATAAGTCGTCTGAAAGTTTGACAGTGAACGTGATTAATGAGCCGGCAGCATTGTCTTGCTCGTCAAGTCATACCAGAAGGGTACAGAACAGATTAATGCAGCAGTTAGGAAAGAGTCAGGCACCGGGCCAAGAGGAACCAAGAAGGCAGTATAACGTACATAACGAGTCCTTCTTTGGACTTGATGGTCCAGATGTTGCAGCGGAAGCTGTAAAACAAAGCACAGATCCAAGGTATGTAAAAATCGAGTTTGTTAAATTGCAGGTTATTGCGCTAGAAAATTTGACGAGCTGCCCACGTGCATGCGTGCCGCTTAGCACGCCGCTATTAGCGCAATTAGGATTGAGTTAGTTTTATCACGTTTGTAACTAAAACTGAATATGATACGTGCCGCAACAAAGTGAGTAGTTACTTTAATTGCACATGCTAAGCGGCACGCATACAAGTCGCTACACCTCCAAAGTTTCATTGTTACAGGCAACGCACTAGAGAATTTTGGGATCAATTGAGCAATCTCCCCCCCGTAATGACCAATTGAGCTATCTCCCCCCCCCCCAGCAAAACCGAATAAACTCTACAAAAAGACGTCAGCAAACACAAGTAGATGGATGATGTGTTTATAGCACGCAATCAATTGACCGAACGAAGTTTATCTCACATGAGTATCGAGAAAAATTTAGAAAAAAATCGAAATTTATGGAAAAAAAATGTTTTTTTTTTTGCAAAATTTTGTTTAGGCGACCATAGCCTCATCGAAGAAAGCAATTTACCAGGGTTGGTGCTCTAGACTTGTATCTGAATAGCAAAAACGGTTCTCCGCAGCACCTTTATATTGTTCGCAAAAAGTTTTTGCCATTTTAAAAAAGAAAAAAGTCGCTTTTTATGCCTGTTTTATTGATTCTTTTTTTTTCAATCTAAATGAAACTTTAGAGCTTTTCATCGTAAATTTTGGCTTTCCACATTCGTTGGAAAATATGTTTTGTGATTTCATGTCATTCAAACTATTTTCAAGTGGTTATAAACATGTCTCAAGTACCTATTGAGTACGCGAGAATGGGGGGGGGGGGGTTATGATTGCTCAATTGATCCGAATTTTGCAACGAAGTGCGCATTAATTTCAATTGACGACGAGTTTGCTAAGGATTTTTGTCGAATTCTCTATTTATCATGTGAGCATTCATGATACACTTGCGTTTAAGTTTGTCCAATAGTGTATCATGCATGCTCGCTTGAAAAATAGAAAATTCTACAAAAATGCTAACAAACTTATCGCCAATTGAAATCGATGCACACTTTTGTTGCAAAATTCTCTAGTGATGCCTGTAACAGTGAATTTTTGGAGGCGTAGCTTCTTGCATTCGTCCACGTTTTAGTCTCTGAAATGGCTATATTCTAAAACCATTTTTGGACAAAGCTGTTACATGGATCGAAAAAAAAATGTTCTCTGCTACTCTTTATGAAAGTATCAATGTTTGATTTAAAAGACAGCAGGTTATTCTGGGTCTAAAAATGGTAGTTTTTGCCATTTACAAAAAGTTATAACGGCGAACAGTTAAATTCTCTAGCTGAGAAGATGTTCACTCCGCTGATTTTGAAGCTAGCATTTTAAGACCCCGAATATGATGATAATTTGATGAAACATAATATTAATACTTACATAGAAGATAGCTGATAACATTTGCTCTCAGTTGGTGTGAAACCTTAGTCGAAATTGGAGGTAAATGTTGCCCAAAGTGGTCCTTGAAAACAGTCAGGGTAGAAAGTATAAACCTAACTTTGCATTATATTTATCCACACGTGTAATAAGAGTTACTTTACAGGTTTGGTTATCTCTACAACGGTTTCAAGCCGCCGAAAGGCGTGAAGTTTTCTGGAAGAAAAAAGCAGTTTGGACCGAGAGGAGTAAAGGCCCAAAAAGTTATGGAAGAGGCGAACGCTTATGATAGACCCTCGTTCAGCGGTGCTTCTCAAGGACCGTTAGATGGCAAGAGTTTGGAGTCTGTCATCAAAATTAGACTTGAAAGGTTTCAGAAGCAGAATCGACCAAGGGCTGAGGAAATAGAATATGAAACGGTTTCGGAAGCAGAAGACGACGAGCAAATGTCACCGATGATGAAAGCCATGAGCGATCGTTATGAAGGTGTTGTGAAAGAGCCGCATGCGACTTCTGAAAAGAGAATTAAGAAACTGACTGAGGGAATGAAAGAGATTCTGCAAGAATACGGCATAGGAAACGAGGACCGTCAGAAGTACTTCGAGGAGTATGTTGGAAAACTTATTAAGGAAAAACACTGGAAAGCAATAAACCCCAAAAGTGCAATATGTCATGCCATGATTGCTTCGTCAGAACCCATAATGTCCAAAGACTCGCCAAAAAAGCACATGGAGTATTTTTGTGAGAGTTTAAACTGTGAGCTGAGTTACCCAAGTGATAAGTTTCCGTGCTTCGCGTGTTCGAAGAAGTTCACAACAGTCGTCGATAGATACGTACACGAAAAGGAAGATCACGGTTGCGTGAAAATGACTCAGTTTCAGTGTAACGTGCAGAACTGTCATCAGATGTTCAACAAGAACCCAAATGCTTTAAGAGCCCATTTCTACAGCAACCATATGTGCACGTCTGATCACGAAGAGTGCACGTTTGGGTGCAAAACCTTAATCCCAAAAACGCACTCTCGCTCCATGGCTGAGCACGTATACTCGGAGCATGTTTGCCAGGTATGCAATGATGTGTTGAGTTGTTCGCTGAGTGAACATATGACAGTTTATCATGATGCCCAGTATGGAAAGCGTGCTGTAAATGTGAAAGCAGTGCCGACTATTCCACTCCATGCAACCGTTGGACCGCGCAGAGATGGTAATAAATTTGAATCCAATGCTTCAGGTAGTATTGAACGATTTATTTAAATCATCTATCCTTTTCTGTGGTTAAATATTAGATGTTTTATCGAGGAAAATTTTTGATATCTCTGATTTTAGGCCCAGTGAGTCGCAGTAAGAACAGTCGATCTAATTTGTATAACAACGACCTTCCAGTTTCCAGCACACGTAGAGAACCAATGCCTGAACGAGAGCTAGCGTATGGTTCAGCTCGCAGTAATCATAACGATGACAGGACTTTGTCAGAGAGAAATCTTGCGTTCGATATGGATAGTTTTCTGGCTAGGTCGCGAGATTCTGTAGGAATAAACAACAACATTGAAGATAATATCAGAGACCTGTCAAAGGAAAATAACGATTTGCAATCAGATTTAAGAGTTCGACCAGAGAAATCAAAGCCAGTTCCTATTTCTATCAATCTGAACACCAGCAAATCGCTGATTGAAGACTTAGATGGCGAGCCGATAAGCGATCTTGAGGATAACACGGTTTTTGAAAGCAGCGAAGACCCATTTTTCAACCCATACGATGAAAGAACAGGAAACGAAAAATCCGATCAACGTCAGTTATATCCAGATCACCACTATGAACATCGTGAGCATGATTTGGAAAAATTAGAAGGAGCTATTGAAAATTTGCACAGAAGTAAGAGGAAAGAACAAAGAGATGAAGAAAAGCGAAAAGACGAAAGGTCCTCTAAGAAAAAAAATGAACATGGTTCCAGAGGAACATGTGGCTCCGGGTCGCTCAAAACGAGGCGACGATCCAGGAGTCGTAGTAGTAGTTCACGAAGTGGAAACGACTATGATTCGTCCTCGAAACGCTCGCGTAGAATATCGCCGAGAAATCGATCTAAGTCAAGACGACGTTCGGGTTCCAGAGATAGAAAACCATCAAAGTCCCAAAGACGTTCACGGTCAAGATCGAGAGGTCGAGCTCGAAAACAAAAATCAAAAAGTCGTAAAAGATCATTGAGTAGGTCTTCTCACGGTAAAGATCATAGCAAAAGTAGACCAAGAAGTAGATCGCCGCTTTCCAAGAATCATGAAAAGAGGAGCCCAAAGCGCTCCAAGACGAAGAATGGATCTCCAGTTTTCGAGAAATCGATTGGCAAAACTCAAAAAACACTACAAGTGGATGGAAGTTATACAACGCGAACGCTAAATTTGACCAAAGATTCTTTCAATTTAGTGCGTCAAGTGGAAAATACAAAACCAGCGACTTCTATAAGTAACTTAATTATTGAAAGAGGTGTTTTGGATGCTTTGCAAATGTTGAAGACAGAGAAAATTAAAGAATGTGAAGTAAAAGAGTCGCGACCAGCTGAGGTTTACACGTGTGGTCAGCAAGCAGAAGACGAACTGAGTGGACTTTTAGATGCCATCAATTTCTCGCCGATTTCAGAGGCAGCTTCTATGTCACCAATAAGTGACACAGAATTCGTCCAATCAAAATCGATAAGCGAGTTCAAGCTACCGTCGGCTTCTATAGCTGAGAAAGCGACATGGACTAGATGTAAACTATGCAAATACTCTTGTCCTCTGAAAGGAGGGTTTCAGTGTAGAGTTTGTGAAAATCAATTCAAGGAAACAAAATTTATTTTGCTATCAGAGTTGTTATTGCATGTTGAAGCGAATCATAGTAGTGTAGTCAAAGTACCTGAAAAGTTGGATTGCGATTTCTGCGGAAGTAGTTTTGAGTTGGTTGAGAATTTTGACCTGCATTTGAAAGAGAAGCACCTTTGTTCTGATAAACATAAACAGTGCGATGAAGGATGTATTGATCTTCTAACTGAGAAGACGCTAGAAGCGCATCTGGACTTGGTTCATGGGTTCTTTTGTAGCTTGTGCCAATGTACCATCAAAAATTTGAAGGCTCTTCATGACGCTAATGTCCATAATTCAAAAAGTATTGAACAAACAAAAGAAATGGAAATAAAAATTGAAGCAAATGAAGAGCCCGAAAATCGTAGAATGAATGAAAAAAGTAATAAAAAGTCAACTATTGCGCAGCATCTAGATATAAATCCTTGTTTACTGGAGTCGAGTTGTCAAGCAAATAACGGACTTAGGAGCTTGGTAGCACCAGGATTGGATAAGTTTCAGACTAACGTTGGGAAATTTTCCGTAGATAATAGCTCATTTGAAAATGTGGAGCTAAGTGGCAGGGTTGTCCCGCATGTTATTGAGAAATGTCAAACTTCCAAGAATACACAAGCTTGTGCGGGAGTGAACAAAACTCAATATTGTGACCTACCAAGAACTTCTGTTTCTCAGGCACCAAATTTAATGGCAAATATTACAGCATGCTCGGTAGACGACTTAGTCAAAAACACCAAACTTACAGGGAATGCGGGTGAATTCAATGGAGATTTAACTGTTAGTCGAGAATTACACGCCAGTTCTTCTCGTCTAGGAGCTGCTGAAGATGTTTGCATGTCTGATGCAACCACTGCCAGCTTAGAGATGGAGGGAGGGATACTTTACTCAGCCGATTCTAGTTATGAAGACTATTTTGAATCAGTGATGGACTTAGAGCCCCCACGGACGTCGATCGAACAGGAAACTCATCAAGAGCAGGCAATTTCTAGTCCTACATTTTTCGAGTCGCCTCAAGTATCAATGACGCTGGGACCCGCACAGGGATCCCAAAAGAGCTCTAATGAGTCTGGCACAACTTCGATTCCTGAACCCTCTAAATATCAAAGTTCAAATGAAATTGCAGGTGTAAATGTTAAAATTGAGTTCCAACCAATCAAGACAGAGTGTGACCAACTTTCAGACGAAGAATCGGATGATAGTTATGTAAATTCAACCTCAGATGATTGTGAAGATGAAGCTAGCGAAGAGAGCAAATTGGCGTTAGAACAGTTTCAATCGAAGCATTCGTCCAGCACGCCAATAAAAGCAGAACATACAATTGATTCATTTTCGGATATTAATTTGTCGACCACGAGTTCTGTTAGTAGTGACGAAGAGGTTCGATTATCTCAAATTAGAGCACTTGGCCTTGAAAGAAATGAAGTGAAACAAAATAGGTCTAATACGGTTCTATCTTTTGACCGTGTGATTGCTGCCGAAATTCGAGGACTCTTGTCTTCCCAAAAAGTAAACACCGAAATGAGAGAACCATCAATTGAGTGTCCGATATCTGTTAGACGAATCGCCGCTGAAGAAAACGAATTAGGAAATAGTATTAACACACGTACCAACGATGTGAACAATCCTTTGATAGGTTTGGATAAAAACAAGCCAACTGAATCTGATTCGCCGACTATTTTGGAAAATAATAACAATGCGTTTGCTACGAAGTGTGACAGAAAGCCTGAAGGACTTGTTGACAGGGAGATTATTGGAAAGGAATCCGGAAAATCCATAGGCATCGATAAAGTTCAGCAAAGAGATGAGAGCTCGGAACTTCCGATGAATACAGAATCTACAGAAGAAGTTGCCCACTCTGACGTAAACCTTGAATCAAATGTTAGAAAGAGTAGCAGCGCCATAAACACAGGAAAAGAGTTAGAAAAGGGTAAGAAAGTATCAAAAGCTTGGGTAACCTTGAAGGAAATAACCGCCGTTGCCAAGAAACGAAAGCTAGCCAAAGTTAACATGGCTAGTCTGACTTCGCCGAAAACGAACATCAAGAAAAAGAAGATAGCCGATTCAAAAAATTTACTGAAATTGAAGCCCAAAGAAGCTTTGAAACAATCCATTAGGTCAAAAATGGGGCTTCCTACTAAGGAATTGGCAAGTAAGGTAACTGAAAAGGTTTCAACTGGCACAGCGAAGGTTATCAAACCAGCCGAGAAGGTTTGCACTCAGAAAGCGAAAAGAACATGTGCGAAGTCCAGAAAAGTAGAAGTCGTAAGCTTGCTCGACAGTGAAGATGAACACGAGCAAGAAGATGACGAGCAAGTTGTTCAATCTATTAAACTGAAGGAAACTTTTAATCCCCTGAAACCAATTTTGACCATCGATAATTCAAATATAAAGATAGCTCTTAATGAAAATTTACAACTAACTGTTGATGATACAGTCACGGACGCAGAGGCGCAAATTAACGAAAGTCTAAAAAATACCTTAGAGGAAAATAACGTGTCGACAAAAAAGCTTTCACCCGACAAATGTTTTTTAAATAGCCTTCCGAAAGAAGATGAAAACAAAACTATTAGTCAAAACGCTAGTCCATCGCCGTCTCCGCAGCCTTTGAAACAAGTTAGCTTAGTTGAAAAAGAATGTGATTCAAGTTTGAATAGAGAACCAGCTGGATTCGCTACCAGACTAGTTAAAGCTCCAAATAGACATGATGGTCCGTCTATGATTAAGAAAAAGACAATCGAAGTCGTCGATCTAATTGAAGATGATCCAATCAGTATAAAGGAGGAAAACACTAATGACAATTCAGTCTCAAATAGTTTGAACACGACTCCACTTGCGAGGCAAAGAAGTTCGGCAGACGCTATCGCGACTAACACGAATCTGTCACCGGGTGGAAAAACCTTACTTGAGAAGTACAAGTATTTATACTTGAGTCACCCAGGAAGAGAAGATTTTTCTAGTCGATCTAATTTTGTGAAGTTATTTCTAGTGACAAATAGATCTGTTTTTGGAGATAAACAGTACATAGATGGTGCTAAAGAGTGCGTAGTTAGAAGTAACCGAGACAGTTTGATCAAAAAAGGTTACGTGCACTGCACCAAGTGCCCATTGACATACCATCCTATGCCGATGATCTGCAAGTCATGCTCAATTAGTACTGTGGATTACAAAGCTATGGAACACCACATGAGGACCATACATAAAGCAGCACTAGATACTGTAGTCGGACAATCCATTCCAGAATGCCCCATCTGTGATAAGTTATGTCCCTCTTACGAAGAGTTTTTCGAGCATAAGGCTTCTCATTATTGTTCTGAGCACATTGAGTGTAGTTTCGGCTGCAGCGAGTTAATAGTTGGTAATGTTAACGAGCTGAAAGAGCACTTGAATTCAAAACATACGATGTCCATTCCAAATTTAGATGACTTGTTTTTGGGTAGGCTATCTAGCGATGCTTCCAAACGCCTGGAACTTCTGACTAAATCAGATCCACGAAAGTTTCTAGTTTGCATCGACTGTGGAAAAATGGCCATAAATAGAAATAACCAAAAGTACAAGTGTGAGAGGTGTTTACCTGGTAAAGAGCCGAGGATTTATGTCCAGGATGAGTTTCTGTTACATTTGCAAATGTCCCACGCAAAGAAGGCAACCGGAGATTTTCGATGCTACGCATGTCCTACTCAAGAAGATTCCTATACTGATGATTTGGAAGGCCTGCGAAATCACAGGTATATTTCCCATGGAATTTGTCATAGACACGTGAGGTGTCTTGAGCCAAAATGCGAGGTGCTTATGTCAGCCGATAGCCTGAAAACCCATCTGCAAAATGACTGCTTCTACTTCAAGCCCAACCAGATTATGAGCGAACAGCCATACGAGCATTTAGAACATCAAATTGTGAAGTATTGTTCAAGTTGTAGTCTAGGTTTGGTTGTTTCGGACACGTATAAGTGTAAGTACTGCGACGCTATCTTCCCCGATGAGCGGGAGTTCTACGCACACATGATGTATGATCACAATTTGCCAGTCACTATTCCGCAAAGTGTAAACTACTCTTGCACGGAATGTCCGCAACACTTGAGCGAAGAAAGTGTATCTGGAGGTCGCTGGCGCCAACACCGGCTGAAAAATCACCAAATTTGTAAGATGCACATTATGTGTCCCAACTTGCAGTGCCAGATGCTGTTTCCGAATGTGAACGAAAGAGAAAAACACCTGAGCGGCAGTTCTGATTGCGTGGATATCAAGTGTTTGGAATCAATGGAAAATCTAGGTACGTTGTTTCATTTCAAGACACGAAAAGTATTATGATATCTCGCGTTGTTTTTGTTTCAGATAGACATGCAAGTGAATTAAAAATCTATTTGTGTTTCTAAGGCCCAGGAATGACTTGTTTGTGAGTTCGTTAAGAAATGGTATGATGTCGTTGAAGTTAGTGAAAGATCTGGGTGTTTTTTTTTGGTCTCAGTTTGAAACAAAGCAAGTTTTTTGTCGTTCAATTGTAAGTTTCGAGATATTTTGAAGGAGCACCTTTACTCTCAGATGCTTAATTACCTGTGCGACTGGATACTTGATTTTGCCAACATTTGAGGCACCCCTTGTAATTTGGGTTCCGGATATAGATTTTTAAGAGCTGGAAACAACTTGTACACTCATCAGCGAATAAAGTAATTGCTTTGGCCAAATTCGCAGCCTATCTTGAACTAAAGATATCATTGGTCCTTACTCGTGTAAACAACTGGCTGCCAAATATTTTCATTGAAAATTGTACTCCCCGACCTTTTAAAGATGGACCCCATAGTATTGGATTTAGTGTTCGCAAAATTGATTAATCCTATAATTTAGATTTCACTGGTAATTAAACACCTGAAAGTACTGAATTAATTCAATGAAATGTTGAGTTGATTGGTTCGTATCGGTAAAACGGTACAAATGATTCATTTTGTGTGGCGTTATTCTGGATAGTTTGATGACGTAGTTTTTTCTCAGTAGTTTCCTAAAGGGCGAAGATTAAGCTGTTTAAAGTTGAGTTAAGTATGGGTTTATTGATAGTTCATTTTGAAGATATTCCAATAGTAGTTCGAGCTGTATCCTAAAAGCTTGAAGCAGTTCCGTCGGTGTTTAAAGAAAGTACGAATGTTTTTGCTCGTGAAGATTGGAGGCAATACTAATTTGAAAGTTTTCAATGTCAATGGACGATTTTAAATGGTTGTTTAGGAAGCTATCAAGAAGTTCTCGCTTTTTCTAATTTTGGTAAAATTTTACGGAAACTTAAGTGTCATTGAACGAAGTGAAGCAAGTCATTTAGGTCACGTTGTTTCTTTGGTTTTTTTCAGGAGAATGTTTCGAAAAGTTGTTGACGAGCAAAATTGATTTTCCGCTGTTTGACTGAGTGAAAGATAATTGCCAATGAACGGGAAATGATTTATCACTTTTTATGTTGTGCATTTTAATGTTTGTTTTTTCGGGAAAATTTTTATTCGGGAGGTTCCTTTAATTGAAAACAAAACTGAAAATTGATGATATTTTTTGGATATCGCCAAGTTATAAGCTGTATCCTAAAAGCTTGAAGCAGTTCCGTCGGTGTTTAAAGAAAGTACGAATGTTTTTGCTCGTGAAGATTGGAGGCAATACTAATTTGAAAGTTTTCAATGTCAATGGACGATTTTAAATGGTTTTTTAGGAAGCTATCAAGAAGTTCTCGCTTTTTCTAATTTTGGTAAAATTTTACGGAAACTTAAGTGTCATTGAACGAAGTGAAGCAAGTCATTTAGGTCACGTTGTTTCTTTGGTTTTTTTCAGGAGAATGTTTCGAAAAGTTGTTGACGAGCAAAATTGATTTTCCGCTGTTTGACTGAGTGAAAGATAATTGCCAATGAACGGGAAATGATTTATCACTTTTTATGTTGTGCATTTTAATGTTTGTTTTTTCGGGAAAATTTTTATTCGGGAGGTTCCTGAAATTGAAAACAAAACTGAAAATTGATGATATTTTTTGGATATCGCCAAGTTATAAAGTATTTGAAAAAGTCAAATATATGTTTCCGGTTTTGCACTTGCAATTGACTCTTTTCCAATTTCCAACTTTTACAATTGCCGATACAGTTAAATCGGAACTTCGTAGGGTTAATTTTGAATATATGGGTGTTTGCTACGTAAAGATTTTTTATTTCCTGCAAAATTCTTCAAAACTGATTTTCATGAAGCGGGACAGTTGTTTGGTTGTGCCGATTAAGCGGCTACTCTTTGATCGTGTCTAATTTATTGTTTCTTTCTGTCTGCGGAACACATGAGGTGGCCTTGACAGTCGTTCGAATAGTATTCGTGATATGTCGATGGACTGAATACAGGTACCTCGATTGGTTCAAATTGCGTTTTAACCTGACAAAGCTAGCTGTTTTATACAGTACGACAGCAGTGTAAAAGGTCAATGAATGGGTTTGGGGTTAAGTGAAAAGAGAATATATTGTTGGCGCCATGGGGGGGGGGGGGGGCTACTGGGAGGGGACAATCGTGTGGAAAGTGAGTGGGGCCAGGTCTGTTTAGGTATGAGTTAAACAGAGTGGTCTAGCAGGAGCGAAATTGCACTAAGCTAGACGAGAGTTCGTTGTGGGGTCCGTCTTCAGCTTTCTACAAATGGCACAACCTCAAGCTCCCAACAATGGAGCGCCGATTGCTTGCAAAGCTCGGGTTTTTGGGTTCGGAGCATCTCCGAAGCCGGCCAGGCTGATCCGTCTCCTAATACTCATTCTCCGATTAGGGTTAGGGCAGGGGTGTCCGGTAAGTTTCAAGGTTAACGAATAATAGACTTGGTTGATCTACTGAAGAAGAGTATTTAATGAAGCGGTTTTATGTGCATTTATCTGTGCTCCTTAGCGGATCGGTTAAATCTTTCTTTTGCCCTGCGGTTCAATTTTTAAGTAGTGAAAGATCAGGATTATATGGCATTCTGCAAGGAAGGCACACGGTTGCTCTACCTTAATCAGTTTTTTAAACACTGTATTTTGTTTAGGGAAGTTGTCTTTCTGCTTTTCAATGCGTAGTTATTGAGGGAGGACTTGTCAAATCGTGCGTGATTTTGTTTTTCGCTTGGTTTGCAGTTTTTGTTTCGATCACCGGAAAAGGTAAGAGATCGCAGACAGGTGCTATGCAGTCGAGTGATCTGGTAACCTGGGATCCTTACAGTTGATAATTCGGTCTGTAATGAAATTTTCAGATTTCAGAGTTTTTGTTGTAATAATAATGCTTTTGAGTCGTGATTCGAAAACATTAAAGAATTCCCAATTTTTTTTTCTAGTGTCGAGAACTGGTTTGAAATTTTTGATTTTTCGTCTTAAGACTAGCTCGTTTTTTCAAGCTCAATTTAGGCCGTTTTCAGTAGATAATTTATGCTCTATTTTAATTTTATTCGAATATGCCTAAGTTTTACGTCAGATCCTTTTATCACACCACCCAGAAAAACTAATTTGAAAAAAAAAACACTTTTTTTCTTGTAGTTTTTGAAAGACTATGGTCGGAACATTCTGTGCTACTTGCACAGTATCCGGATATCCTTGTTGAAAATTTTCTTGGTACTTACAAATAGAAGAAATTATATAGAAAAAGTGTAGAAAGAGTGAAAAATTTGATTTTTCATTTTCTTTGAAATCATTTTTGATTAAGGACTACTATAATAATCATTTGAATCCGATAGTAAAATTCTTAGCTTTCTTTTAGGATCTCGATAACATAAAAAAGCTGACTTTGTTTGAAAAAAAATATATATAAAAATCTTAACAACTGTGGTAAACATTCTGTGCTACTTGCTGCAAACTAACGGGTAATCTTGTTTAGCCCTGGCGATAAGCACGGCTATTGCAACCAGGTACTAGGCGTTTTTACCGTTGATAACCTTAATCATAGAATGACTGAAACTAGTGGTTATCTCCAAATTTGTAGTTTCATTTGAGCATGTCTGCTTTTTCAGTGCCCGTTTTATTCGAAATATGTTTTTCATGTTGGTTGAAAATTTATCAACTCGTATTGTAGATTTTCGTATTTTTTCAATTGCATAATTGTCTAATTACTCGGCTCAAAAGGTATATATTATATCATATTAGTGACATCATGCTGCGTCGTTTGATCAGCGTAAAAGTGTCTTATCTTTATATATCGCGGGAGGGAGGCTTTGAAACTTTTTTGAGACTTTAATTTAATTTAGATATATTTAAGACTATTTTAGATGATTTAATATTCGGCTTAAGGGCGTCGGTCGAGTTTTGTCGGCTTTCTTACCGCTCCATAAGTTTTCTTCCGGTTCTATTTTAGATTAGTTGTCCTCGATGGCGTGTTCTTAAAATGAGATTTTTTCGAAACGATTTGAAACAAACATGAAAATTCTGGTCGATCTAATTTTTTCCAACATCTAAAGATAAGTTCTCGGAAAAGCGGTTTTCCTCTCATTTACTGTCGACCAGTTTGTCATGCTATGTTTATTTCATTGCAAGTGTTGCGAAGCTCTTTTTCGCACCTGTGTATAGTTTTTCTTCCTTTCTTGTTCGTCATTCGGTTCACAAGTTGCGAAGGGAGGTGAGATTCAGCAGGCGGTTGTGTCGATATTGGAATGAAAAAGTCTCCACGTTTCGACGCGCTCTATAGTTGGCAGTTAGTTGTTGATGTCGTGGTTTATATATTGGTGGATGGTAGTGCTTAGCGGTGAGTTGGTACGAAAATAGCGATAAGTAAGAAAAGTTTTTTAAAGGGATTATTAGCTTCAAGTGGGTTAACTGGGCATTGGTTCACCTTTGGGTAGTTTAATGATGGAAAGGATTGTTGAGTTAATGCATATGCGTGCTTCGTTGAGTAGTTTTTTCTGATGGTATCAGTTTGTTCAGTATAAATGTCTATAGGGTGTATGGAATTCTTTCTATAAATACAGTGTGTGTATCTTTGAGTTCGTCTAATGCCCAACTATGTCCATTTCGAGGTTCTTTTTGTAATTTCCTGTGCGTTCTCACCCCCGTTCAAGACATTTATCTTAAAGCGTTGGGGTATTTGTGATGAGGACATTGGCCGCTCTGGTTCGGGACTTCTGATTTCATGGTTGGCGACAAAATGTAATAAGCGACAGTTCGTAGCACGGCATTGGCAAGTAGCGATAGCTTGCTCTGCGGCGCTCACAATCGATGCGACAGGAATGATGCGTGTGAATACTTAGTATACTCTCACGGTTTGTCGCCTGCTACGAGTTGTCGACTCACGCGGTCCCATCTCTCATGATCGTCTTCTTTGTAAGTTGTATTATAAGTTAGAGTAGTTGGGACAGTCAATGGACCATTTGACTTCGTTTGATATTTTTCCTTCCGTTTTGCTGCTAGCTTTTTAGATGGTTTGTTCTATACTGATAACGTAATTGGGTAGTTGGTTTTTCTTCGGATATTGGATATTAGCGAGTGCAAGAGCGATTAAATAAAGATAGACTAGTTGAGACGTCTTTCAATCAGCAAGGAAGGTGTAATATAGCTGCAGACGTTTCCATAGCATGTAGCACGAGTCAAACTGGTTTTTGACTTGTGGTAATAACGGTTGGAATATTTGGGTACGGAACAGATCAGATCGTAATGGACTATCTGTTTCTTATTTTTAGTAATGCATAAAACTGATTCATTTTTTTCAGTCTCACAAAATGCTTTTTTGTGTGAATTGTAAACGTGTTTCAGGTGCTAAACAGTGTGTAGATTGTTCTCAAGTTAAAACAGAAACCAAAATTTACAGCTGTCAGCTCTGCAAAAATCATCTTCCTAAGAAAAATCGTTCGATTCTTGTGGACAACATGGAGTTCATGATCCATCTAGGATCTAAGCACAACAAAAAGTTCTACGCTCCATTCAATTGCAGAGTTTGCAACTACTCGTTTAAAGACTCCAAACTGTTCTACAAACATTGTTGTGATTTTCACTCATACTGTAAAATTCATCAGTTTTGCGAGTTCGGAGCCCGAACTTGCTCATACATGTTTTCGGCAATGAAGACACGTGACCAAAAACACGACTGTATCAAGTCGGTTTCCGAGGATGTTTTGGCGTTTACGAATGTCGAGGGAAAACTCAAATGCGAGGACTGTGATTTCAGTATTTCTAAGGTTTCGACGTTCGCATGTAGATTTGAAGACTGTTCGAAGAGTTTCGTCAATGCTTACGAAGAAGCAGCGCACAGAATAAACGATCACAAGATTCTAGTGCCGACAACCTTTTTCTGCAATGAGTGTCCCAACAATGAATTCCGATCGGTAGCTAATCTTTTGGTTCAGCATTACAAACTGAAGCATAAAAGATGCAAGTTCCATACTGTATGCCCCCTAGAAAACTGTGATAGCCTATACAACGCTGAAAAGGATATATCTCATCACTTGAAAGTTTGTAAAGGAAAAATCCCAACTCGTGAAGCTTCGAACGTCGAAGTGTCTTCAAAAAACATGAAGAAATCCATTGGATTTGCCAACGAAGAACAATCGTCGAATCAGCATACAACAGCTTCTAGGGAGGTTGTCGCGGTTTCGGATAGTTCAAATGTAACTATTAAAATAGCTGTAAATAATGCCACTAATTTAGTCACAGGAAGCAACAGAACCTTAGCAGCTCCTGTGTCTCGACTTGTAGCTCTGAAAGAAAATGACCAGCAACCGGGTCCAAGTAAGAGTTCACTTCAGAAAAGTTCACCAAAGAAAGCAGAAAATCGGAAGCAAGAGTCAAATTGGAATTGGGGCAAAAATAACAATAAAAACAAGAAAAATAACAATAAAAACAACAAAATATCCCCAGGTTTTAAAGCCAAACCAAAGAGTAAGGTAGGAGACAGCCCCAAACGTCCACTGAAACACGTTCAGATAAATCTGGGTCTCCGAAATTTGTTCAAGTGCTCATCATGCCCGAAAAGTGTCTGGACTCGAGATTTGTTCAGATGTGACTCTTGCTCTCCGGGCACAAGCGGACAGTCGAATTTGTTCGCAACCCGGGATGAGTACAATCTACACCTGGTGCTGACTCATCGTGAACACATTCCGGGTAAACTCATCTTCTGAATTTGTAGCTCTATTTAACTAAGAGAACACGCGGCAATTATCGTAACTCTTCACCTAAGTTAATCAGTATCCTTTTAGAGTTCGAATATTACCTGGCTGAGTTTGTAAGCTCTGAAGACCCTGGCACTCTTCTATGATTCGGCTTAATTTTCACCGATTAGGTCTCACCAATTAAATAGCAGGTTTCCGAATCGGAAAATTGCGAAATACGAATATTTTTTGATATAATCGTTTACTGTGACTCAGCTTCGAAGGTTTAAGCTTGATTTCTTATTGAATTTGTAACGAGCTAAGTTTTGAATCTTTTGTAAATTTTTGGCATTGAATTGCAGGCGACTACAGTTGCCCGGTCTGTGACTGGACTTTTCCGGACAACGGAGCCAAGCTGGTGGATCACGTGAGCGACAGACATTCCTTCTGCATGCGTCACTTCCTCTGTGCCGAGTGCTGTCTTCTGCTTCCCAAAGAAGAAATGCTGAACAACCACCAGCACTGAAAAATAGAGATTATTCAAGAAGTGTCCAATTATAAAAACAATGTTTATTTCAGAAACAACTAACCATTAGTTTGATGTAACAGACGAAAAAAAAGATTACGGAAAAATCGCATAGTCTATAGTTGATACTTTTGACAACGGAGGAGAGCTAATTGTCTGGAATCTACATTAAATTATAATTGTGCATGTGTTATTTCGTGAGAAACTTCAATTGAAATTGAACTTGATAATCAGTTTGTTTCTTTGCCCAGCAAAACTTTCGCTCTACATTCCATTAAAAACGATAACAAATATATTATTCAGAATAGTTTTAATTTGAAATTGCTTCTTTTGTGTTTTGATTTGGCTAGCTCTCGTTGCGAGAATTTACCTAAAAATTTCTTAATCGAATGACATCAAAGGGAAGTACAATTAGTTGATAATTAAACTCAAAGTTTTGAATATTTTGAGATTAATGATATCTTTTCAGATTTTTCAGTGTGTGACATCAGAATGAAAAATGAATTCTATAAAACCACTTGCTGCTTCAATATGGGCCCCCAGATTGATCAGGAGGTCTTTGACCAGATTAGAAAGTCGAAGATGTGGGTTGGGAAGACACTTCTCTGCAATCTCAGGTAATCACGTAATCAAGATATTGGAAAGCTGGAAAAAATGTATTCATTTTAGTTTTTTTTCTGTTACATTTTTTTCATGCAATCTAGGATAGAAATTGTTTTTTAATCTTCAAGATCAATGCCTATATTACATGTTTTTCATGCAATCTAGGATAGATATAGCTCTTTGATCTTAAAGATCATGCCAATATTAAGGCCTTCCATTGTAAGGTGAAATATCAGCCACTGTCTTTAGATGTTGACTGCAGTTATGACGTCATTGTCGTGGGCGGAGGTCATGCCGGTTGCGAGGCAGCAGCAGTGTGCTCCAGAATGGGATGCAAAACTCTCCTACTGACCCACAGCAAAGCCACAATTGGCCAGATGTCATGCAACCCGGCCTTCGGAGGGGTCGGAAAAGGTTTGATGAAGTTGCACTTTATGTTTTCGTGGTTTGAATTTTGATTTTTTCTTAAGTTCAGTTCATTTCCTTTGTTGAATGGAAGGCAACATCCACTGTCGATCAACAAAAGGGTTAAGATTGCGAAAACTTGAACGAACAACTTCTTGTTTCGAAAATGGAAATTAATTTTCAGATTTCCAAGCGAATTTTTTCATGAAAATTAAGTCCGTATTTTTTTCTGTTTACTTGCGTTCATTGACTCTGGCTATGTTTTGATTTTGTCCTAGCATGTTTTTTTTTCAGAAGGCTATAAATAGTGTCTTCTTAGGATTTTGTTCAATATTAGCTAGTCCTTGGTTCTGTTGATCAATAAACATAATGAGCTGATCAGTTTCGAGCTCAGTCTCTATTTTAAGTTTGCATTACGAGACCAAACTGTGCATTTTGTGAATTGTAAGCGGATTCCGCAACAAGTAGGTTCACTTTGTTCTTCTTTTGTTCTTTAGGTTCCTGCGATTGTTCCGACAAAATTTTAACATTGTTAAAGACTTGTCTCTGGAATCCAGGAAGATACAGACACAAAATTAAGCGCCTATCCAGTGAACAGTTTGGCCTCGTAATGTGGGTAAATTAACTATCGGTAAATTTATATTGTTGATTTATTTGAATTAATTGTTTTCGTTTTGAAGGCCATCTGATGGCGGAAGTGGATGCTATGGGTGGATTGTGCAGCGAAGTGAGTGACATGGCGGGCATTTCGTTTAAGATGTTGAACAGAAGCAGAGGACCAGCAGTGCATGGACCGAGAGCTCTCGTAGATCGAGAATTGTACAAAACGGAGATGCAGGTACGTCTAGGTAAGACCTTGCATTTCGATACCCAAAACTGATGATAATGCAAATTAAAAACGCAAATTCAAAACTTGTTGTTTGATGGGCCATCAATTTTACTATTTCCAAGTGGGATAAGTGTAACAATACTTGGAAACTAATTTATTAAAGATTAACCTTCTGAACCGAATTAGATATTGGTGAAACAATATATTAATCTGTTTCAGAGAAGAATCTTTGCTCTTCATAATTTGACAGTCGAAACATGGCCAGTTGAAGATCTAATTGTTGCAGATAGCTCCACTCCCGAAGACTGTGGAAATCATTGTGAAGGTGTCCTTACTAGTCATGGAAAAGTACCAGCCAGTTGCGTCATTATATGCACTGGAACATTTCTTAAAGGAGCTCTTTTCTGTGGTCAAAATAAAAAACCTGGAGGTCGTGTCAACGAATCTCCGACGTATGGTTTGTCTGAAACTCTAAATCGTCTGGGATTTCAGCTTGGAAGACTAAAAACAGGAACTCCACCCAGACTGTATAAAGACTCAATCGATTTCTCGAAATGCAGTAAAATTTTGCCTGATTGCAATCCTCTTTCGTTCAGTTTTATCAACGAAAAGGTTTCGATTCCTCCTGAAAACCAAATATGCAGCTACATAACGCAAACCACTGAGAAGACGAGAAAAATAGTGGAACAAAATGTGAAAAACAGTCTTTTGCTAGTAGAACAGGATTCAACGGGGCCTCGATTTTGTCCATCTCTAGAGGCGAAATTCACTCGCTTTAAACTGCAGCACTTCCAGGTTTTCCTGGACTCGGAAGGACTGGATTCGAACATAGTCTATCCCAGTGGAATTTCAGTCACCATTCCCGAAGAAACCCAGGTCTGTTAAATTCTTTATCAAGAATTCATCTACTCGAGAATTACAGTAGTTGGAAATGTTCTTCATTATTATCTGAAAAGAGCTCGTCTGTTATAATAATTTTATTTTCAAGCCAAAACTTATACCCATACATTCTATGAAATTGGAATGTCCCACGTTTCGTCCCACGCACATTTCGCCCCTCTTAAATCTAGCGGCACATTTCGCCCCTAATAATTTCACACATTTCGTCCTCGCACGTTTCGTACCTAACTTATTACACAGTTAATTAACGCCGCTTTCTTAATGTACATTTTAGGGGCGAAATGTGCCAGTAAATTGAGGGGCGAAATGTGCCACTAGATTTAAGAGGGGCGAAACGTGTGAGGGGCGAAATGTGTGAATACCATGAAATTGTACGTTTACAATTTAGTTCGGCTTGGGAGAATAAGAAAGGCATGTTTTTTCCCCTAGTGCAAAACCGTTGCAAAGTCAGGTGCTCATTTTGAAGTACTTGTTTAAATGAACAGTTGGATATTTCTGGTAAATATGAATAGAAGGACTTTTTGCTTCTCAGATCGAAATGGTCAATTCGATTCCGGGACTGGAGAATGCCAAAATAGCTCAATATTCTTATGGAGTTGAGTACGACTTTGTGGACCCAAGAGAACTGTGCGCTACCCTTGAGACGAAGAGAGTGAAGGGTCTGTTTTTGGCAGGACAGATCAATGGTACGACGGGATACGAGGAGGCGGCAGCGCAAGGGCTTGTAGGTTTGTGATAAAAATTGTCTCAAGGTTATGTTTTGGTATTACTTGACTCATCGAGCGTTTCTTGACTCTTTGAGCGTAAATTTGACTCATAGAAATGTATTGAAATAGAACTGTTTCTTGCTGCGTCGAAAAATGAAATATAGCTTACAAAGGTTTTTAGATGATTTTGTTCACGCAAGTTACGGTATTCGCTTTTTTAAGTTGAGGGTAAACTTGCTCGTGATTAGGTGGGATTAATGCTGCGCTGAAAGTCCAAAACAGATCAGAATTTATCCCTAAGCGAAGTGAGTCCTACACAGGAGTAATGATAGATGACCTAACTACTCTTGGAACCAAGGAACCCTATCGCATGTTCAGCAGTCGTGTCGAAAACCGAACTTCGGTTAGATGTGACAACGCCGACCGACGACTCACTGCGATAGGACACAAATTGAGAAGCGTCGACGAAAGGAGATGGAAAATATTTCAAGACACAAAACGAAAATTGGAAGATTCTATTGACATGTTAAAACAAACCAAATTTGGTGACCTAGGATGCTCGAAGGTCAATTACGACTTCAAATGTGACTCTAAGACGACATTGTTCAATTTGATGGCCAGAAAAGACTTTGAATCTTTGGGCGTAAAATTTGGCTGCAGTGATTATTTGAAAGAATCGGAATTAGGAAAGACGTTGCTAGATCCGAAATGGGCTTGGAAGTTACACGCAGATGCAGTTTTTGAAACAAAATATTCAAGTATAAGTAAGTATTTTCAACTATTTTATCAATGATGTTAAATTAGAACAAACCATTTTTAGGGCTTTAAAGAAAGTTTTACCTCTGCATTTTCGAATTGATCGCCAAGCTTGATCGCTTTTTGATCACCAGGTATGGCAATTTAATTTGTAGATTTCACAGCGAAATAAAAACCTTTTCCAATAATCCAGTTTTCTCAAATTGGGTTAGTTTTATATTAGCAGTGTCAATCATAAATTGTTCTGGAATTTCAAATAGCTCTAATGGCATTTTTTTTCTGAAATCCAAAAACAAGTCATTTTTTTCTGTTTCTTTGAGTCCATTGACTCGTTTCCAGCTGTCTGTTGGCTATGTTTAAAATGTTGAAGCTTTTCGGGCAATAGGCTAAAAATGAATGTAGATGAGAAAAAGCACTTGAAGATGAAAAGCGACCGAAAGAGACTTTTGCTTTTTAAACAACCCGGAATTTGACGTCACGGATTTCAATATGGATGAAATGAAGTTTTTTTGAGTTCCAATTATATTTCCAGGTAGTGTGGGTAAATCATTGACGAAATTAGAACTGGAAATGGACGAGCAAATCAGGCTTCCCTCCGACCTGAACTACTCTTTCTTAACACGCACTCTACCTCAGACTGTAATCGACTCTCTCAATTCAACTCAACCCCGGACATTAGCTTCTCTGCGTCGCATGCCTGGAGTAACAGACAGATGTGCCAAAAGTGTACTCCAGATTTTGACCCGAACTTCTTGATTGTATCTATAGCTAATGCCAAAATGTTGGTAATATCCATTTCAGTCAACGTGTGTGAACCAAATTAATTGACCTAAAATTGCTCAAAGAATCGCCTTTTTGACCGATTAAGTTGTTGAGGTCAATTATTTTTTGCCAACATTTTGGTATTAAAAATACTTGGACTACTGTTGCAGTGGAAAAAGATAATAGAGTTATGAACTGATGTTGAAATTGCTGCCAGAACAATTTGTAATTTGTAATAGTTGGCTTATTTAAGTAATAAACTTTCTTTTCCTTGATATTTTTCAACCTTGGAATGATACCTGGTAAGCTGAGAATGGTTAAAGAAGAAGTCGTGTATTTGTTTAATGGATTAGTTCTCCACACATCGTAAAACGAGAAATTTTTGCAAAGAAGTTTTTATTTCGACAAAGTTTTTTTATCTGTGCATTTCAAATGGTAGTAGAATCAAGTAAATGTTCACGTTTGAACTATCTTCATTTTGTACAATGAATTTAGAGCTACACAAGTAACACCGATACCAGTTTTATCTCGGTTTTTGCAGATATCTTCATTCCTGTAAAAGCGAACTGATATATCTCATGTTTGATAACATATCGGTAAGACAACATTAATTGGCTAGAAGATGTATTATATTTTTTCGGGTTAACAACTAGTTTGGATCATTTTACTTTTGGTTCAATTTAAATCAAAAGTCTTACGTTAATTCGCGCATGTGGCGAAGAGGTAACGCACCTGCTTTTAAAGACCTAGGTCAGTGGTTCGAATCCGACCAGGACCTGTTTTTTTGCAAGCGGGAAATTGCCCGCGCGTCAAAAAATCTTCTTCGGACTTCTGTTTGTCTGCTTTTTTTGTCGGCTTAGTTTTAGCAGCACCAAACTGACCTAAAATTTGGGAATTGTTTACTCAATTTAAAAACAATTCAGTGAATTCCGGTTTTGGGCAAATAATTGAGTTCCAAAAAGTTATGCAATTTTGCTTCTTTTTGATTTTATTTTCATGATGTTCACTAAAAAGTTTTGAAATAACTTCATGGAGTGTTCTGTGCAGTTAATGCAGAAGTTCGATTTCAGTCGGTAACTGTTCTTTTTTGTCGAAACTGAAAAATTTTGAATATTCTAGACTTTCGGGTCAGCTATTTTTTGGCGGCTTAGGTCCTGCAGAAACATTCGGTTTGTTTTAAGTATTTTTGAAAGCTCTTACTAAAGTTTCTAATGGCGCAGGTAATTTTGTTTCTGGAATTTTCTGTCTTTTTTTGCAATTTTTATAATTTTTTTTTGACAAAAAAAAAACGATTTTTTGAAGGTTTTTTTTTTCAATTTTGATTTGTTTTTTCGTTTGCTGGTCATCATACTCACACAGATTGTATCGCAAGTGATGCGAAGCTCCGCTTCGCCTCTGTGTAAAAGCATTTTCTACATGTGTAATCAGCGAAGTTATTTGATAATGTGATGGTTTTAGTACGAAAAATTCACGCAGACCTTTATAGCGAGTAATTTTTCGATACATTAATTTCAATTCAAATTCTCAAAAAAATCCCTATTGATATAGGTGTCTCTGATTGGTTAGTTCTGAGAAAAAACAGTCAATCACCAGAGAATTTCGATATTCAAAGTGCCCTAATCCGATCATTTCTAAAGTTCGGAATTTATTAAATGTCCAAAAATGATATTTTTTTCGTTTCGTTGATTTCATTGACACTTTCTACTGGCTATGTTTTGGTTTATTAAGATTTGTTTCGGACTATTATAGATCTCAGGTTTTTTTTCAGGAAAAAGTTTTAAATTAGTTCACGCTGTTTTGATTTTTCGTCTTTTGACTTCGGTTTTTTTCAGTTCACTTCATTTTTGATTAATACGCTCTGTTGATTAATACCTATTGATCCAGTTTTCTTTAAACGGGATTAAAAAGTTCCAATCAAAAAAGTATTTGAATTTCCAAGAGCTTCAACGTGATTTATTTTTTTTAAGTTGAAAAATGTTCGAAAGTTTCCAATCATTTTTTTTAGTTTTCCTTGTTTTACCCTTCAAATCTCCGTTTGAAAGATCAAATAAATCTATCTTTCAAATCATATTAGGTACTAATTAATTTTTTCAATAAAATTTATTGAAAAAAAGCTGATTTTTCTTTTCGGATTCCTGGTTTTCGTCCTAATTTCCGTTGGCTCATATATGTTTGTTTAAATCTGGTACGCTTTTTAGTAACTTATGGATGTGTTGTTATTTTACTTTAAACCGTTTTTAACTATAACTAAAAGTTTTTGGTTAATTTTTTTTTTGGTTTTTTTGTTATTCGTCTTATTTTATATGCCGCTCCGAAAGCACTTTTTCTTAAATGCTTTTGCGTGTTTCAGGAGGGATGGGGCATAAAAACTTTTTTTTCAAATGTTAATTAAAATTTTTTATGACACCTCGTTAAATGTATATCAATGTCTTTCAAGGCTGTTTGAAAATCGATGAACGTAGCGCAGTTACTTTTTCGCAGTTTGTTTTTCAATTCTTAAGTGCAGTTGATTTCCTTTATTAAAAGGAAGGGAAAATCCACTATTGAACAGCGAAAGCGAAAGATCACAAAAAACGTGATTGACTTCTAGTTTCGAAGATGTACTTTAATTTTCAGATTTCCCAGCAAAATAAAATAACACCTATTGATCAGGTTTCTCAAATTGGCTCAGTTTTAATCGTAAAATGGTCAAGCAGAAAAATTTCTTGAATCTTCACGGTAATATACGATAAATTGTCAATTGAATGTCAAAAAACCAAATAGCATTTTAATTCCCCATTTAATGCCTAATCTTATATTAAAACAAGATTATTTGAACCTTATAAATCACATTCATCAATCTAGAAGGAAGATTTTAAAATATTACCTGAGCTTGTATGATGCTATGGGAAATCGTTATTTCAAAATCGGTGTATTTTTCCAACTTAAGTACTTCGAAAATGAAAAAAGAAAAAATCATAATCCATTGTTTTGTTTCTTCAAGTTCAGAATTAAGTTTTGCTTTTTTTGTCTTTTGACTGTTTCATCGGGTGATTGCACCATACTTATATTTTTAAGTTAACAACTTTTTGCGGAAATTCAATGCAGTTACTGTTTTGCTTAAGTTTCATAACTTCAATCGAAAACCAAATCATGATTGGAATTTTTTCAATTTGTTAGCCGAAGCTTAAATAAATCCTAAATTTGGCTCAGTTGTAAAGTTTTGTTGAAATGATGCATCTGGTAAATAAGTTGAATTTAAGTTGAATTTAATGAAGGTAAATAAGTTGAATTTAATCTGGATTACAAATGATTTAAAACTGAGACAGACTGCAATTGTTCAGACCACTGCGTATTGTCATCTTTGAGAGAAATTTTCTGGAACAATTCTGGGACCTCGAATCACGGCTGAAAGGGATTTTTAAGATATTTTTTAATTCACTTTTTGGTGTGCCTAACATTGCGAGGGAAATAAGACCGTAACTTTTAGTTGTTCACCTTTCGTGAGTGATTAAATTGAGCTAAATGTCAAACTTTGGATGCGTATAAAGAACTATTTTTGTATGAACTCTTTTTGATTACGTTTTTTTCGTTCCTCGACCTTATTTTTCATTTTTGAATAATTAATTGCACCTGAGGTTGATTGAATAACTTATTACACCTGCGATAGCAAGTGTGTTGAATGCTTGATTGAAAAAGGCTAATCGCTGTTGTTACCTTCCTAAACTTAAGATTGGAAATATGATACGGTCGTTATAAATCGTGAAATGGTTGATGCAAATTGAACCAACTTTGAGAGCAAATTTGTATGGAATATATCCGAATATTTTTTTTCTGAATCAATCTACAATTAATAAATTAATACTTTTTTGACGTCAATCAGGCGCGTTTTTTTCGGGGTGATTTTTCCCGGGTGAGGGTTAACTTTTTTCGTTTCTCTCGAGATAACTGCCCTGTATTTTAAAACATGCACTTAGACATCCTTCAAGATGTTTTAGATCCAATTCTGAATTTACCACGTGCTCTGTCTCAAATTGAAACATGCAAACTAACAATACAAGGTCAACCAAAACAAAACAGTGAACTGAGAACTCCTCGAGAAGCAAGGGTCAAAGGTCAAACATCAGTTCTTGCATAGATGAGTGCCCCAGTTCAGGGCACTAATGACGCGTGCACGCTCAGCAAGGCAGCTATGGTCCACAAAGGGTACTTCAAGGATCCATATGTGTCCAAATTTGTCTCGTCTGTTGTTACGAGAAGCCCAATCATTAACCGTGGATATTTTATAAGAGCTTATGCAGTACAGGCGCTTGTCACTCATCTATTGAAAAAGTCGACTTGTAAAGACGATGCTGGCAATGATGTGCCTATCAAACAGGTTTGCATTTTATTTCAGAATTTTAGAAGCAAATATGTCGAATAAATTCAATTTTGTGAGACTTGAGATAACTCAATATGGAGTGAAACGGCAAAAAAATTGGGCCAATCCTATTTGAAAGTCAAAGGTTGAAAATGAAACTTTAAAGCAATTTGTTATATTTTTTTGTGTAAATGTATGGTATGTTTTTTGTTTACAAATCAGCATAATTTTAGACGTCAACAAGGGGGTTGGTATAACTTAAATAGTTGGAATAGCAGCAAAAAAAAAGAAAGGCTCCAATTATGGAAATCAAATGGCTGTCAGGAACCAAATTTTGAAAAATTTTCTTCTAAGCTAGTCACTACTGTTTTGGGGGAAAATTAAAAATATCGATAACGTCTGTGTGAAGTTGGCAACAGTTTTATATTCGATTTTATTGGGGCGATTAGGCCGAAAATTTGCGATTATGTTTTATGCTTTTTAGGCATCCCTGATTCTAAATCGAAAATGACATTTCAGAACTTTTGAATCAAATTGCATGTGTCTCTAGAGAATGTAAAGTCAGCTACAGATTCAATTTTATAGTTTCAGTCCAAATAATTTACTCAATAAAACAAACGTTTTTAGTCAGTAAAGAAAAGTTAACTGATAGTTTGTCGAATTGAAAAATAAGTTTTTTAAAAGTTAATTGTTAAAACGAAAGTTAATATTTTTTGGGGTTCGCCAATTTTCATTTTTCATGACCGAGTTTTTATCCCCATATATGCATTAGAATCTAATATGTATTTGTTGTCAACTTCCGAGACGTAGGTTGAGATTTGAAGATGAAGTAAAAAAAATCTGCAAAAGTGAAACCTTGACCAAATTATAGTAGATATTTTGGGGTTCTACGGGGCACAACAGCAATTCTTCGTAGAGAGCTGAACCTTGGTATTATTGTTATCATTACCATTGATCTTCATCTTCACTTCACATTACCAATACCAATGATCTTCACTTTCCTTATTACACTTGCAATCAGCTTAAAATGTAATTAATTACAAACCTTCTTTTTTAACCTAACTCGCAAATAAAAGTGTTCAATAAAAGCCGGAATGCACTCAGACAGTCGAAAGCCCTCAACTTGGCAGAACAGGACTCCTTTGATTCAGCAGTCTTTAGAGACAGGTTAAGTTCGAGAATTTTGTATATTAAGAGTCGATGAACGTAGTGAAGAATCTTATTACACTAGCGATCAGCGTAGTGTATTACTATGAACCTTCTTTTTTTTCTAAATAACTCGCAAATAAAAGTTGTTGAAAGTGTTCAACTTATTTGGAAATTTCAATATAGTATTGGAAATTGCATAGCATCTGGGCTCTTTTTCCTCCCCCTCCTCACCTGCAAAATTTTACAAGTTAAAATTTTGTTCACGTTGTTCGATTAATACGAAAATTGATTTACGGACTAATTAGGTTATAACAAACATATTTGGGCTTCATAATTAACCTTGTAAAACCACTCGTTACACCATGAAATGCATGTACGTGTGAGTTAGTGTTTGGTAACTATTAAGCTTCCGTGGCTGAGTAGTTAGTGTGAGAGTCTCTTAATCTGTCGGTCGGAAGTTCAAATCTCTAAGCTTGCCGAATTTTTTTCCACTAATTCGAGACTCATTTCTAATTTTTATTATTATTTAGAGCTGCTGTTTGTCGTGTTCTCGCAAGTTTTTGCGAAGTGAGGCTTTGCCTCTGTGTACATTTTTGGTATAACTTCCATAGGTTAATTATGAAAAGTTCAGGTTTTGAATGAAAAGCAGTTTAAGGCTATGAGCAAAAATCCAGGTTAAGAATGTAAAGCAGTTTAGGTTGTGAACAAAAAATCCAGGTTGTGAATGTAAAGCAGTTTAGGTTGTGAACAAAAAATCCAGGTTGTGAATGTAAAGCAGTTTAGGTTGTGAACAAAAAATTCAGGTTGTGAATGTAAAGCAGTTTAGGTTGTGGACAAAAAAACCAGGTTGTGATTGAAAAGCAGTTTAGGTTGTGAACAAAAATCCAGGTTGTGAATGAAAAGCAGTTTAGGTTGTGAAAAAAAATCCAGTTTGTGAATGAAAAACGATTTGGATTGTAAACAAAAAAATCCAGGTTGTAAATGCAAAGCAGTTTAGGTTGAGAACAGGAAAATCCAGGTTGCTAAAGAAAATTTCATGTTTCGAATGAAAAGCATTTTAGGTCGTTTCTTTGGGTGCTGGCTTCGACACCATGTTCTTCCGTTTGCGGGACAGTGGAGCCACTGAACATGTGGTCAAGTATGTGGAGGTGGACGCAGAGGCAGTCATGGACAGGAAGAAGGCCATGATCGAGAAGGAGAAGCTGCTGAATGAGTGAGGTTTAAAATGGTCATTCACTTCAAAGCCATTGTTCACTTTACAGTTTACTATGGCTGTTTTTCAGTTCATATTCATTGTTTGGATCACATGTAAATGGAAAAAATATTCCTAGGGTAGTTCATTTCATTTAAATTCAAGTGCAGTCACGGAATGATGAAAATGTATATCTTAATTTTACAAGGAAATTATTGAATAATCTCTGTAACTAAGTATGTTAAATGTTTGACTGTAATTTTAACGTCTGTTTATAATGATCTTACAAAATTACCAGTACAAAATTTTTTGCTTGATGACACGAGTATGTTTTGCTCACTTTTTTTTCAGGAAAAATTCTTGAAATTTGTTCACGCTCTAATTTGATTTTCGCTGTTTGACTTTTTCATTTCTTTTGTTAAATGAAAGCAAACTCCACCATCAAACAGCAAAAGTGAAATGTCATGAAAAAAGGTGAATGACTTCTAGTTTCAAAAATGATCTTTAATTTCCTAATTTTCCAGCGGATTTTAAAATTTGTTTTTTCATCTAGTACGAAAAAAGTACCAATCATGAGCAGTACTCACATTCCTGGTTTTTTTACACTTTCCCAACTCTGTTGGCTATGTTTTGTTATTTCAATTTCTTTTTTGAATTTGGGAGTTGTTAATGTGAACATCGCAAAGGCTGTGAAATTTTTGGACTCATAACGACTTTTTGATAAACTGAGGACTTTGCTTAGCGTTTCTTATAACTTTCCTTCAGCATCAGACGGAATTGAAAAGTTTGCTAAGCCTTAAATAATTTGCTAAATTGGTTTAGAATGATGACATATTTTTCTTAAAGTCTTAGTTACTTTCTTTTTCTAAATGAGTTATTTTTCCAATTCCTTCTTATAATGGATCTTTTTCCTTTACTTCTTAATTCTGAAAAACAGCTTTATTCTGTTGGAGCTTTTTTCAATAGTTTCATCAGCCATATGTGATAATTTGCGTCCCATCACTTCAAATTACTCAATTTTTTTGTTCAATTTCATTCATAATCGTTACTTTACGCGTTATTCCTCAAGCAGAGCCAGCAGAGATTATAGAACAACAGAAGTCCCTGAACAATAGAAGAATTGAAAACCAATTCAATTTGTTTGGGGATTTTACATAGCTTGATTTGAGCTATATCAGCTTAATTAAACTGCAATCAATGTTGTTGTATGGTACAGTAAAGCTCAATCGAGCAATTGTCAAGCAATTGATTTTAAAACAGGTTTCGATTATCTAGTGGGGATATTTTGGCTTTTCTAGCCGTATTTTTCTACTTTCCTATTTTGAAAAACTTCTTTTGATCGTTTTTTGTTTGTGTTGTCGAAGTCACGTTTCGTCTTTGTGTTAACGGTGTTCTTCGTTCTTTTATTTTTCAGCAATATTTTGTGAGTAATTTGTTTTTTTTTGTCTTTGCTTTGCAGGAGTGAACAGAAGCTGTTGCACTTGGTTGGCGGGGACTTGTCAGACTGCGACAAGTTATTCGGTCAGCTGAAGTCGTTAGTGTCGCCTAAGTTCGGAGTCCTGTTCCTCTGCGAAGTGTCTCTCGTGTATCTACCAACTGAGAAGAGTGACGCTATTCTTACACTGATTGCCAAGGTAAGTAAGCCATACTTCAGTTACGAATTGACTAGTACTTCGATTAGTACAGAATTAACACAAAACTCATTGTAAAATCATTTTTATTGAATTATCGATTTATTCGATTTATTTAAATATTTTTTGAGTAAGTTTAAATGAGGAACCGATTTTATAAAAACAATTAAGACAGAAATGAATTTTTCTTAACCTCAGCCAGCATATCATCAAAAAAGTTACCAATTTGAAACCAGGTATAATATTATTGGATTTTATTCAGTTGATTTCTGTGCTGCGTATGTAGAGGTTCCCACGGAGTGTCTGTGTGTTGTACGAACAAGTGAACACCAGGGACCCTTTTGGACGTTTCATGACAAAACACTTCAGGAAACTCAACTGTCCCCTTGGATCCCCAGAGACATACAACACCATACCCAAACTGAGACAGAGGCTGAAACCTAAATTTATAAAGGCAATCAAAGTTACAAATTATATTCATTCTACTTTGTTGCTTATTCAAAGGCATTTGCTGTTGTCATTTAATGGGAAACATCATATTTTGTTTCAAGATTCTCTCTATAAAAGAGCTCTACTAAATGCTTTCCGAGGAACAAAACACCGTAGTCTGGAGTTCTTCATCGAATACGTTTTAATTGTGGGATCATTGCCAATTTATGATAAGCGATATATCAGTATTAAATGTTGCTTAAGCCATATCATAGTTTCGGTTTGTCCTTGGTCCAAGCTGTGTTTTTTTACGACGAAATTTGAAAATCTTCACCTTAAAATGATGGCTAAGTCTGAGAGTCTTTACGAGTCTATCAAATGCAGAAATCTTGACAACAACACGAACACTGAGAACATTTAGGTTTTGACAGCTGACGTGAACCACATTGCAGTTCAAACACTAGAAAAACAGGAGAGGGAGAGAGTGGGAAAACTGGAACAGTTTGATGAATTTGAGGAACTCACGCTTCTTAACTCACACTACACACTGTCACTCCTCGTGGCCAAAGACTTGGTCATACCCAAAGTATGGAATCCTATCTGCATTAGTACAGTGTTTCTACGCTCCAAAGCTTCGATAAAAATGATTCCGAAAATATTGGTACACAGAGGTGAATTTTGGATTTTGAATGGTTGCAGGGCGTATTTTAACAACGTCGATCAATCGATCTTATGATTTTTCTCGAAACTCTAAGATGAAGTTAATTTGCTATATGTGTTGGGTGTTTTCGCGCCTCTGTTAAATCCATTCAAGTTTTTCTGTTTGTTCGCTGACTTAGCAGCTGTTCTGTATTTTTTCATTATAAAGTGTTTTTTCAGGACTATCTTTTTTCAGAAAATTTGGTTTTTCGCCGTTGGAGTTTTGAATTCAAAAGTCAATTCAAATTCATTGAAAGCAGACTTCTATTTTCAGATTTCCTAGCGAAATAAAAAAAGTAATCCTCCGATCCAGTTTACTTTAATTGGGTTAGTTTCATAAAAAAAACTGTAACCATAGAAGATTCAGGATTTTGAAGAGCTTAGAGGTTAAATATTTTTCTTAAATCTCATTTTTTTGGTCTCCTTAAGTCTCCTTTAATTTGCCCTCCAAAAGTAATGGGTTACTTTTTCAAATTTTTCAATTCGCTCTCCAAAAGTTCATTAATTCGCCATCCAGTCCGAACGAATAATGGTGCCAATATTAATTAAAGATCAAAACAGCCTTTGACTAACAGAATCAAGATGATTTCATTTAACAAGGGAATGCAGTTAGCAGTTAGCAAGCACTGTCATACATGAACATTGATTTTTTTTGTAAGCAAATTGCGTTTCAGAAACTGGCAAATAGAGTATTTTCATAGCTTGGTCTGTAATCGATTCAATTAAATCAAAATGTGCTAAATAATCATTTTTTGGCAAAAAATGAAATCAATTATATCATTAAATTCATAATAAAATCTGAAGTAAGCACCGAAGTGCACCGACTAAAAAGTAATGCAATTATGAATTCCTTAACAATTATGCCCTTAAAAGTTTACAAATCGATATAAAAATACACCAGAAATTGTAATTGCTATGCCACACCTGCAAGGATTGAACCTGAGTTGCAAGAACAACAAAAGCAAATTACTAGCGTCGAAATAGTTCTCAAATAAATTATGTTATCTTTATCTTTTAGCATCAGAAGTATCATCCACTGGCAAATAAGAAAACAAAGAAACAAAAACCAGCTAACTAAAACACTTCGGCAGTGTATTTATCACAGAATTCGAAAAGCGTTCTTTTGTTATAAAAATAACGCAAACGATCGATCAAGCCTATCAAGTTTGCTATTTGAGTGCATACATGATTACGGTCGCAATTAGCAATCGTTATCAAATCGGAATGTCTTTTTTCGGGCTAACAACTTGTTTAACAGAATCCCTTGAATCACTAGGTACCTTGGTTTATAATGAATTCAAATTTAGAAACGTCTCCGGCACATTTAGTCTGGAGGTAACGACTACACCTGAAACGGCAAAGGTCCTGGGTTCGAATCTGGCTAGTGCCTGTTTTTTTAACGGGAAATATACGCAGACAAATGAGCCGACATTTTTTTGAAACGCAATGTTTTGTCGGCTGAGTTGCCACATCGTAGATTTTTTCGCTGAATGCTTTTCCATTATATTTTTTTTTTGTTTTCTTTTTTTCATGCAATTTGTAGTTTTTATAAACTTGAATGCGTCTTTTTTCTTTTTTTTTTTTTGCTTGAAATTTTTTTCTGTCTATCTGATTTTAGCGTATACTTTATGGGCTTGATAAGATAATTTGCGTTGTTTTTGAAAACTTCAATTTGTATGCTTTCCTCCGGATTGCACCAAAGTTAAAATTGTAAAAATGGCTTTTTTCAAGTTTTTTCATGACAACAATTTTTTTTTCGCTCAAAAAGCGATTCAGTTTTAATTAAGCCCCATCGAAAGTGTTTCTGGACGTGTTTCCCGCAAATATAACATCATTACAGACAACATTTTAAAATCTTGCACTTTCAGTTTCTTCGAAAAAGTTTTCGTTTTCTTTAGACTTAGTTGCTTCCTTTCCTTTCCTGTCTGCTATCTTGTAATGCTATTTTTCTGGTATCGCAAGTGATGCGAAGCTCTGCTTTGCCTTTGTGTCTTTATGTACTTGAAGTCAAAACATATACCCAGATGTTCAACACATGAGCTAACACAGAATTGAAGGCCGTCTATTCGCATCAGCCTAGGGGGGGGGGGAGTTTCCGAAATATATCAAATGGCATCAGTTTATTTTTCGATTAAACGATAGTTTTTTTGGAATTCAGCCAATGCCCTACCCTACTAAGGTTTTTCTGAAACTCAATCTTTTACTTAGAAATCAGAGAAGTATCACCTGCATAATGAATAACAGCGGTACTTCAGCTGACGAATTCAGGTTATTGATAAAAATTAAAAGTAGTAAAGGGCCCAACATAGACCCCTGTGGTACACAATGAGACACATGAAGTGTTTCGCTTTTGAAACCGTCAACGTCCAAACCCGGCAAAGTCCAGAAAATATCCACAGTGAACCGTATTAGACTAATCTTTGCATTTTGCTGTTTTCTGAATTGTTCATACAGTGTGCGATCGCCTCGAAACAACCATTTTCAAGTGTAAATTTACACGTTTGGACATTGCATTTTCTGTTTCTTTTGTCATCCATATTTTTTGAGGTTTTCCTACCCTTATGTTGCGGATATTGATCTAGTGTTTTAACAATGTTGCCATTGAGGACACGACTGTCAATTACTTGCGATAGATTTTCCAATTAATCCTTGTACACTGGAGACTTCTTTTTGAAACGTTCTCTTTCTATAATGTTTTGGATGACTTCAAGTTTCTGTAGGTCACTTTCACGTCTGCAATTTTTGGAGCATACGGGAAAGAAAAAAAACTAGGATAAAGATCTGTTCTTGTGTCATGACTTATTTCTGAGGTATATTCTTTTGTTATGTGAAAAAGTGTTCTAGAGAAGAACTCGAAACTCTGGTTTGTCTAGTAGCTTCTGATCTAGTAATGGGGAAAGTTAATAGCTTCAAGAACGGCTTTGTAATTGTTTTGTGCTTCGCCATTCAATAGGATGTCTTGATTTAAATCTTCACCAATTACCTAAGATATTGAGCAACAGTTTTTTTTTCAATCAGTGTGTCAAGTTCATCGCAAAAGGATGAAATATTAGTTGGGGTGGCCGGTAAATAACAGCCAAACCATACTTCAATTTTTCCAGCTTACATTTAATCCAATACTTTCAAAATTGTCATGTTAACTTCTAAAAGACTGGTCAAGCTGATACCGTTTTTAAGCTTATGCTTACTCCTCTTGTTTTGAGATTTTTTACAACCTTACACTGGTAATCAATTATCTGATGATGTTTTGGATTATCCGCCGTATCATTCGGCTATGTTTTAGTTAATAATAGCACCAGGTTTTCTATCCAACTCGCTTAAAACGCTATAAGTTCAAAATACTGAGCACGCTTAGATCTTACATTCAAATGCAAGATTGAGCAAGTTGATTTTAAAGGGTGCCTATTAACTTTCTTCGGGTTGTTCAACACGAATGCATGGCTGGTATCAATGCCAGAAGTAGATGTGCTGTGCAATCCATTTTTTTTGGTTTAGGGCAGCAATTAAGGTAGGAACAATAGTTTTAACAACTTGAGAAGCTATTGAAGTCGGCGAATCGGTTTCCTCGACTGGCGACAAGTTCATTTTCTTTCTCCTTGCACTTTGATTGTTTCGAAGTAACTATTGTAGTGTCGTATTTGCTGTATTTTTATTAGTAGTCTCAGGTACATCAATGTCCAGGCTATTGGTCGCGGACATGTCTAGCGTAGTTTGATCTTTGTTCGCTTCAAAAGACGTTAAGTTAACTCTATGACGGACGCTAAAGGTTTTGCTTTGGCGTTCGCAAATTTTGGATTGTGTGCGTATATGCCCTGCTTATGCGTAGAAGTCGGGATTTGTTTTGCTCTGGCTTCTAGTTTGCACCGCGTCATCGAGCAATGAAACGCAATCAAAAATCATGCGGTGCAATTAACTATTACATGCTGCCCCGCTTTTTTCTGTAGTTCTTGAAACATGCGAATCGTCTCCAAACCATTTCACGATTGGCGTGAAATATGAATTAAAATAATACAGGCGCAAACTTATAACCAGATTTAAGTTGATGATATGCTGCCATGTTATGCTTATTCAAAATTATATTCATTTTTTCACGTATAATTTTTAGCTCATCATTTAATGGGTCGGAGCTGATATACATGTTTGTGAGAGGCAGATCTTTCTAGAATAGTTCTCGAGTCTAACCACTCTCTCTCTGATTTACCGTGTACCTCATCCTGGTTGTCGACATTTCGATTTTCAAATTCACTTTTGTCTTTGAGCTGCTGAATTTCATGTGATTGCTTCTCAATAATGTTGAGAAATTTCTTGAGCACATCCACTTTTCTAATCGGTTGGTCAGGCATTGAGTCAATGTCATTGCGCAGTTGTTGAGTGAATGTGATGTTCCAACCATCATAGGAGAACGTCATTTCAACATCAGTCATTATCTATATTTAATAAGTTTACCTAAACAATTGGACTAAAGTATCCTTTATTGCAACATTTTGGATAAAGTACCGGATTATGGATATTTATTGCAAACCTTACGTCGTGCTTTGAATGATCTAGGTACGGGAATAGAGTGCTTGTCGCTAACTGAAATGATTCTGCTCCTAGTCAAAGTTAGAGCCGAGATAAAAGTGTGCTAAAATCCTGTCAAGACAAAATCGATACGAACCTTTTTATTAACATCAAACATTCTTGGCAAATGAAAGCTTGAAATATTGCTATCCGATTTGATCGTTCAGTGGTAGAATTTTCGCCTTATGCTTCAAAAGTTGGTTTCGGTTTTTCCAGTTATCAATAAAACCAAGCTCATTTTTCGCAATCCTTTCTCAAAGAATGTTCCTACAGCAGGAATTAAAGATATAACGTGGAATTGACTCTTTTCATTCTTTGAGTATAGGAAATACTTTTGCTATTTTGAGACAACTGGGTTGAACTGCTTCGTCCATTATCTAGTTAAAAATGTTGGACTAATTGTTATTATTGGGTAGTTATTTTAATCAATTAATTCGACAGAACCATGCCATGCCACCTTTAGGTTTTTTTATTTAACTGTATCATATTTTTCCTGTTCTTTGATATGTGACAAAAAAGAAATGACCATTCATAGTGATTTTCGAAAAATATCTGCTTTTATGAAATTTGCTTTTCAAAAAATCACTGACATTATCTAGTCATTCATCTCTGGTTAGCTAGTTATGTGAAAAAAGTGTAACTTGCAAAATATTTTTGAAATTCAAAGCGCTCTAACATTATATATTTTTTATCCGAAATTATGAAGTTGAAAATTTTCCGTAGATTGGTCAATCGTTTTTCAGTTTCCTTGAGTTCATTGACGTTCAATTTTCCGTTGATTAGTGGATGTCAATCAATGAACCCAGAAATTTCTGTACCGTTTGCAATTTTCTGCGTTTTAGGCAGTGATGTGCATTTAAACAGTTTTTAAAGGAAAATAAAAATTAAAAGGATAACAATTTTATTTAAAGGATCCTTTAAATGATTACATTACAGTAAACATTGTAATCGAAGTTTCAAGTTCTCAGTTTTTAGACGATTTCTTCTGCATTCCGTCAGACTCTGAGCTTTAGAGAACATTCTTTCCGCTAATGCAGGTGAGGGTATTACAGATAAAATAGCTTTTGCTACTTTCGACAACCTTGGAAAACGTTTGTTTTCTCGTTTGAAGAAGTCAAATGCCAAAATGTCCTCATCGATAGCAAGAAAATCAGAAAATTCTTTATTGAATGTCGTACACAGAGACGTGGGGTGCTGTTTCTCGGGACACACGACATTTTTTTAAAATATGTCTTCAATAGGATCGTCAATAAGTTCAATTGTTTCACTTTCGGCTACTGTAGCTTGTAAAATGTGGGGTTCCTCAGTCGTCAAAGTTCGGCCCATTTCTTCTAGGTACAACTTTGCTCTTTCTTCTTCAGAAGGCATCAGTGCTGATCTTTTGTCTTTACTTGGACTCAGCAAGGTTGCCGCACAAAATACAGTAGAGAAATCACCAAATCGCCGTATGTGGGAAAGTGTCGTGTACAATCTTGCACAGAAATTTCTTGCTTCTTGATGGATTCTTTCTTCACGGCTCCATTTGTCAAGAATGTTTGACAAGGTTCTGATAGTAGGCATCACCAAATCTGCATACGGACATTCACTTTCAAGTATACGACCAAGTTTTTGCACGTTTGTAAGAGTTTTAGCCATGTCTTCTACCGCCAGAGAGTCTAGAAGATGAAAAGGACGCTTTCTGTTTCTTTTGGCTTCATCCAGTTTTTCGATATTGCTTCTTACCCATACTGCTTGTCTCAGATGACCATACCAACGAGTGTTTGCCAGTTGTGGGCCCTTGCACATTTTACTGAACTCGTTTAGTTGATCGAAAAAAGGAACATTCCTAGCTGCATCCCATATAGCATTATTAAGCCTATGGGCGCCACAGCCCAGAAAATTTCCAAAAAGGTCAGAACTAGGTAACTCATGTTCGTATTGTCCATCAACTTCGAAAGTCTCATCAAAAAACGCAGTGTATTTCTTGCACAGTTATATCAGATCTAGTACTGTCAACCACCATAAATTCAAGAACTTGAAGTATTTGTGTCCAATTTAGATCAATTGTTGATACGGTAACGAGTAAACACTGTTCACCACGAACGTCGCTCCAATGATCAAGTTGTATTCCAAAATAATTCGCTCCCTTAATTCTTGAAAGGTTTTCGCTAGCAATCGATTGTATGTCATTTTCGATTGATCTGAAGTTAGGAATAGACTGGTATTCTATAAGAGCCTGGAGGAAAGACCTTTGAACAGGATTCCGGAACAAATTCATTGGTAAGGGCGTTGAAGCAAATGCAAAGGATACTTTACGACGTTTTCTTTCCCTCTCAGTAACAACAGAATTGTTGGTTGATAATCTCATTTGATTTGCAGGGCCACTTGACTCTAAGAAGTGTAAATAAAGATCCGAATGTAACCTCTTCAGATGATCCATATCACTGTTTGTGAAGTTTGTTTTAACAATTCCTGATAATTTCTTGGGACAAACAGTGCATTTGCAGCATTTATCACCTTTTAAATACTCGAAATGCTGCTCTAGAAATGGTCGAGTGGCAAACGACTTTCTTCCCATAACTAATTGTTTATTTAGTTCACGTAATTAAGTACTTTATTGATGGCATTGATGCAAAGGTAAGTTAAAACAATGTTACATTCAATTCAACGTGCATAACATTTCTCCAACATTGCTAGTAATAGTTGAAAGAGCGTAACATCCAATTACATTCTTGTTCATAACGTAATTACGTGCATAACATTCTGTATATCTATGCAAACACATAAGAAACCAACCAACATAAACCGCCAACCAATAAGAAGCAAGCACAAAGACTGGCTCTATGACGCAAGGCAAGCGACTAATCCTTTAAATAAGTTGTAATTTTTAGAGGATCATTTAAATGAAATCCTTTTAAAGGATTGGTATAAAAAGGGCATAAAAATTAAAGGATCCTTTAAATATCCTTTAAAAGGATAATTTAAATGCACATCACTGGTTTTAGGTGTTTCCGAAAGTAAAGAAGAATCGCTGTCAGTGCTGCTACTCTCAACCAAACCTGGAAATGTTCCCCAAGGTCACCACAAGCAAACACCTGAAGATCCAACTACAGCTGTTCAGACACTGTTCTGCCCTCACAAAAACAAGGTGTTCATTCTCATCAAACCGAAGACCTATCGCTCATAATCTTCATTGCAGATATAATTTTATACCAGATAAGAAACCGGCTGAAGTTTTAGATTTAGTTTGTTGATTTTTATCATTATATTGTGTGAAAGTCTTTGATCTTTACTGAGTCTAATAATTGGGCCGTGAAAATATGACACGCAGTTAAAATCTGAAAATATAATACTGAAATTAAGGCAGTTTTGTGGCCCTTAAATTTGGAGTCTGGAACAAGTTTTCACTTTTGAAAGTTTACCGCTTTTGAAAATTTAAATAATTTGTGCTTTAAGAGTAATGAACGTAGTGAGTACTCTTATAACAGGTCTTTTTTGATTTTTGCGGTTTTACTGTTGATTTCTTTCTAAGTTCACTTCATTTCCTTTGTTAAATTGATGGTCAGATTATGGAAATTAATTATCAGATTTCCCATCGAAATAAAAGTTTAACCTATTGATCCAGTATCTACAAATTCAAAGAAGTTTAAGGCCATCTATTTTTTTCTTCGAAATTCAAAAGTTGAAATTTTTTCAAAAACAGTTTTTGTTTCAGTTTGCTTGCGTTCATTACTCTTTTCCAACTGTCAGTTGGCTTTGTTTATTTCTTGGTATGGATCAAGTGTGATGAAGATGAGTAGGTTGTGACTAGACTGTTCCTGGTGGGTGGATTCGGGTCAGAGTTCAGACTGCAGTCGAAGGAGGGAGAGGGAGATGGAAAGGAAGACAGTCAACAGGGAGGGGATAAAGAGCAACCACATAGCCGACAGATGCTATTAGCAGACATGGACATTAAGGATCACGCGATAGATGCATTCAAGAGGGTCAAGTACTCGCTGTGGGAGAGACTAAATGCAGTCATGCAGGTAAAATGCACAAAATGTTTTTAAAAAAAATGAATTATTATTAACGGGTTTCACAGAATTCTCACTGAGTTTCGAAGTTTCGAAGAATTCAAAAAAGACAGGCAATGGTAACAATGATTTTTCAACAGATTAATACGAAAAGAGAACACTAAATATGGCTCTGTTTATTTCAAGAGTTTTCTTGCTGAAAACGTTAGCTGCGTGAAAATACACTCACTGAGAATACTGTTGAGCCAGGAAATCAGTAATTTATCAAAATATTAAACTGAACCAGACTGCTCGTATCAGGGCGAAGCCCTGAATGTTCCGACTGCCTTTTGAGGTTTATGGAGCAGTAATAACAAAAAAAATTTAAATGTAATAAAATAAAATGAAATTTTTTTTCTTCTAAAATTTGAGTTTTTTAATGAAAATCATCCCCCCGCACGCCATACAAAGTACAAAAGGATAGATTTCGCTTCTAATAACAAATCAATTATGGCCAATAAGCCTCCTTCAATCAATTTGGAACAGTTTTTCAGACGGAATAAATCTCCTTTTACGCGTGAATAGCGCAAAATATATCGCGCGTTGATTGTCCCAATTCGGTCAAAATGGCAATCTTTAAACTCCCATAACTTTACAAAAAATGGTCACAGATGAAATATCTTTTCAAATTTAAGCTCATGACAACAATAACTTTCGAATGATATAAAAAAATTTCCGTCAAAAATGGCTAGTTAAAAAGTCGAAATTTGTCTGAAGAAAACAAATCCACCCGAGCACAAATATTCCGCTACTTTCGTATCGAAAGTCGGAACAATAATGTCGTAGAACGGCTGGTTTTCTTTGTTTTGCAAGATAATCGTGATCTTTTCCATCTGACGCTAAGAAATGAAAACGCGTAAGAGATACTTCTTGAATGGCTTAACTGTACCCAGTTTTCTGACTATTGAATAAGGAGACGATCTTTGACTTCGGACTTCGGGCGTGCTTGAGTTTTTTTTCCACGCAAAAACATGTACCATAAGTCATCTTCGGAATGAGTCAAGTATTCTATCAGCGGAAAGTCAGATCAACCGTGATTCAAACGACATTTAAATGTTTGATGTTTGTTTTGATGTTTGACGTTCTTTATATGAAAATTGAATATTTATGATCAGTAAACTTGCTTTTACTTTTTAAAAAATATTTGAAAAATCTTCATATGTCACTTTTCAAACAATTTTAAAAAAATTAGAAATTATTGTGTAAATTTAGAAAAAAAGGTTGAAAATTTTATTGACATTTTTTTGCCTGTTTCTCATTTTTTGAAAACAACTTTTTCTTATGCTTAGCTTACTCATTTTATACGCGTTTGTATATTTCTCTCATCACACCACAGACGTTTGGAAAAGAGTTAATTAACGCAAGTAAACGGGAGAAAGTACTGACTTGTTTTGTGGAAAAACTTCAACTTCCGATGTTTGCGAAAAAAAAGTACATGGCCTTAAAGATCTTTGAATTTCAAGAACAATTTATGATACAAATTATGAAAAAACTGGATCAACAGGTGATTTTTATATTTCGCTGCGAAGTCGATCACGCTTTTGAATTTAAAACTCGATCACGTTTTTGTAACCTTTATACCTTGTTATTGGATAGCGGAGTTTGCCTTCCTTTTAACAGAAGAAACGAACTACGCATTTAATAAATCAAAAGTCAAAACGCAAAATGTAATTTGAGCCTGATTATTTTTTATGAAGTTTTTCGGAACATTCTGCGCTACTTGCACAGAAGCCTGCTATCCTTGTTGTGTTTTAGATTTTTCTGTTTAACGTATGCGATCAGCTTAGTGTATTATTACGAACCTTCTTTTTTTTCTAACCTAACTCGCAAATAAAATGATTCATTAAAAGTGTTCACTTATTTGTAAATTTCACTGTAGCATTAGAAAGTGCTTAGCATCTGTTCTGTGCTTTATTTGTGGCTAGTGTTTGGTACCTATGAAGCTTCCGTGGCTGAGTGGTTAGTGTGTCAGACTCCAAGTCTCTAGATCTCAGATTCGAATCTCTGACGCAGTCGAATTTTTGCTGATTCGAGGCCTATTTCTACTTTTTATTGCACTTTATAGAGCTGTCTTTTGTCTTGTTCTCGCTGGTCTTTGCGAAGCGAAGCTTCGCCTCTGTGTTGAGTTTTGATTTCGAGTTTGTTTTGTTGTCCGTTTTCGAAAGACAACTGTAGTCAATCAAGGCCAATGTTAATGTTTTAAGAGGCGCTTTTTTTGTTTTTACAACGAGCTAAAATTCAGCCTCAATTTGAAAAAAGGAAAATGTGTAATAGTAATTTTTAAACTGTTTGGAATATTCTGTGCTACTTGTACTGCAAGCGGTTACTATTGTTACAACTTTAATAGGTGTGCGGCGATCACCTGCTCATTTTTGGAGGCCGCAAATCTCCGTCAGTGCCCCTAAATGACCTCATAAAGGTCACAATATCAGGCGGTGAAGAAGGAGCACGAGATGGACACTTTGGGGACGTAGAGGTAAAGTTTGAAAAGCAGTGGGAGGGTGTGTGTTGCTTCCCGAATGCCAGATATAGACATGCCAGTGCAGTGTTGACCAGACACTACCAGTCTATGGTTGAACATCGGATGTTGGTGGATGGAGGAAAGGACAGCACTAAAAGTTTCTCAGGTGAGATCAGAGATGCTTTTCATGAAGCTAAATTTGAGCAATAAAACGGATCTGGTTTATTTTATTCTGCCAATTATGGAGTTATTTTAATTTAAGGAAACAAATGAAAGCAGAATGTTAAGGTGAATGCAGTTTTAGCTTCAATTATATAAAGTGCCACTGTAACGTCAATGTTGCTTTGTGATATAAAAGACTGTAGATATAAGTTCGAAATACTAAAAAAAAACTTGCTAGCCTGTTATGTCCATTTAAAAAAACAATATAAATAAATTTGATTTTTTTAAATTTCAATTTATTCAAAGATAAAATTATGAGCCCACTCAATTTGAGTAGTTTCAGAAAAATTTTAATTGATGCCAATAATTTTTATAATTTTCTTGAACAATTTAAATTTAAATTTAATTTTTTTTTAAATGGACATACTGATGCTAGTTGTTCATTTAGTTTTTTGAGTTTAGATGCGTTTTTCTACGACCCCTTCACCAACTTATGGAGTGAAGTAGAGTTCATCTCGTTCACCTCTCCAAACCAAACGAAAGAAGATAACAAAGAAGTAGTGGTTGGATCTGCACCTGACAGTCCCCCTCCCCCTCCTACTACACCCCCGCTGCCCCCTCGTCACTCCCACTCTATCTGTCACTATAAAGATGCTTCCCTCATTCTGTCCGGAGGCATATTCAACAACCAGGCTAGAGCTACTATCTTCTGTTGTTTCATTTTGAACAATTCTTCAAAAAGATCATTGTTACGCTTGAATTTAGCAAGCGTTATCAAATCGGAATATAGACTTTTTTCGGGTTAACAACTAGTTTAACAGAATCACTTGAATCATTTCACCTTTGGTTCATACGAAATCAAAAGTGAGGTGTTAATTCATCGCAATTGGTATGGAGGCAATGCAGCTGCCTCTCGAACCTAATGTTTGGGGTTCGAGTCACGGCCGGATCTTGTTTTTTTTCGGTGTCTGAAATTCAATTTTTTTATGGGAAAAGTTGATTAATCTGATTTTAATTTGTCGGCTCAGTTGAGATCCCATAATTTTTTTGCGCTATAATCAGTTTTCATTGTAGTCTCAATTGTTGTTGATTAACTCCTGTGGTTTCTTAAAATTACTATAAGTGATTGGTATTTTTACCGTTTTTTTTTTTGGTTTTTTCGCTTAGAAGTTTTGTTCGGCCTAAGTAATAGCGGCACTTGTTTTTTTTCGATTTAATGAACTTATCTTGCATTGGTAAAAGGACACAAAATTTTTATTCATGTTTTTATTAAATAAGGTCGGCTGGCAATAAAAAAAGTTAAAAATTCAAACTTTTTAATCTCACAAAATTTTTTATGACAACAATTTCTTTGACATTTTATTTTCGGTTTAATTGGCGGCAAACTACGTGTTATTGGCATTGTGAGCGCTTGAAAATTTTAAAAGTTTCCTTTGTGCTAGTGGTTATGTTCGTCTGTTTTTCTGAGATTTAATTTTTTGTGTTTGAGTTTTTTGTGACAACCATTTCTTTTGGCTTTTTTGTTTTCGAATCAATTGGCGTCTAACCATGTGTTGTTGGCTTAATGGCGCTGGGAAAATACTAAAAGCTTCGCTTTATGCTATTGGTTGTGCTTTCGTCTGTTTTTCTGACTGAGTTTTTCGTATTTTCAAAAAATGTTGAAATTTTATGACAACCATATATTTTTGGCAACTTTTTTTGGATCGATTGGCGTCTAACCACGTTTGTTGGCCTAGTGGACACGAAAATTTTCAAAGTTTGTTTAATTGTGGTGGTTGTGTCTCTCCTCTCGTCTTTCTGTGACTGAATTTTTCGTATTTCCCGTTTTTTCCTTTTAGTTATTTCCATCTTGCAATGGTACGCTTTCGTTGTATCGCAAGTGATGCGAAGCTCCGCTTTACCTCTGTGTAGGAAAGTGCTCAATGAGGGTCGCACGCCAAAATTTTCTTGATGTCGGAAGATTTTTATAATGGGGATATTTAATTACATCTTATCTAAAAATAAACAAAGCTAGACGATTTCTGTGCAAGTAACACAAAATGTTCCGACCACTTTCATACAAAAACAACAAAAAATGTTTTTTTTTCATTTTAAGAGTCAAGAAACGTAGTGAAGTTGCTTATATAAGTCTTGGTGATTTTTTTCTTTGTTTTTTAAGGAAATTTTTTTTAAAGTGATCTAATAACTACACAAGTTCTTTCATACATATTAACGCATTTATGAATGCACTTATTACGCATATGCGCACTTTTTGAATTCAATTCAAATTAATCTGCTTAAAGTTAGGCAAAATGTGCTCTCCTATCGCGAAAAGTGAAATGGCTGAAAAGGCGTGATCGACGCCTTATTAAGAAAGTTTCAGATTTCTCAGTCGAATAAAAAATTTACGCATTGATCCAGTTTACTCAATTTTATCAAAAAATTTCAAAAATCAAATGTTTTCGAAATCAACAGAGTTTTAAGGTCATCTTTGTTTTGAAATTCAAAAATTGAGATTTGTTTAAAAATCAAGTGATCATCTTTTTCTCGTTTCCTTGCGTTCCGTGACTCTTTTCCAAATGTCTGCTGGCTCTGTTTTTTTATTCAATTTAGTGTCTTTTTTACTGCCTGATGTGACGAGAAAACTATACACACGCATAGAAAGTTTGTGAGTTAGACAATAGACTACATTTTTTCTCAAAAAATGAATGACAAACATAAAATGAAAAAAAAATTGCCAAGGCGCTTTTTTTTCAATTTTTCAAAACCAGTTTTTTGTTTTTATTAAAATCAAGTTTTGTTACTCAAAAACATTACTCAAAATCAAGAACGTTAGTCAACCGACCTGACTCGCTCAAAATTAGACTAATATTCAACCGTTGTATTTCAGTTTTTCTCGACACTGGGACAACTTTTTTTAATTTCGAAATATAGTTCGAATCACAACTGCGGCTTGACTTTTGATTTCCAAGTTCAATTCATTTCATTTGTCAAAAGGAAGGCAAACTCCACTATCGAATAGCAAAAGTGTAAAGGCACCAAAAACGTGATCGACTTATAGTTTCGACAGTCGATTTTAATTTTCAGAATTCCCATAAAAATGAAAAATTTATTTATTGATACAGGTTTCTGAAATTGGGTTAACTTTGTCAAAAGAAAGTGTCAATCATAATTTATTCTGGAAATTCAAAAAGCTTTAAGGCCATCTTCGTTTGAAATTCGAGAAGTGATCGTTTTTTTTCCTGTTTCCTTGCCTTCATTGAATCTTTTTCAATTGTCTGTTGGCTATGTTTTTGCATGAAAACAAAAAAAATAAACAGCCGAATTCAGAATTCCTACCCATTTTCAAAGATCGGAAAAAAGAAACGACGTTTTATTTCAGTTTTTTAACATTTTCGTTTTTCTGTCTTAAAATAATTCTGAAATTTTAAAATATCTTGACTTTTACAATACAAGGCATATTGTTACACTTTGGCAAATTTGAGCGTCCGGCAAACATTTGCTGTGGCTTTACATAGCCAGGATTTACGTAAAGTTAAAAAGAGCCATTTATTCACGAGAGAAAGGACAAACTAACGAGCTGTTTACCTCTTTTACAATGTGAAAAATATGAATGTTTTTGAACTCGTCGTTGAGTCCGGAATGTCTTCACCAGGAAGACCGAATGCTAGAACATTTTAGAATTTGAAATTTGAAAATCTAAAATGAATAAGCCCATAAATCATTCAGTTTTGGACAGTTCTTAGGAAGTTGATTGGCTGAAATGTTTCGCACAATTGCATGTGAATAGACTCTTTTCTGTTACAGGAAAGTGACGTGAACAGCAAATTATACCGACTCAATTTCCCCACCAGTTCCCTGTGTGAAGTGGAGGTCATAGCAGAGGGACTGCTCCCCCTCTATGGTCACACATCCCACGTATACTTCCAGCAGGGTGGGGGCCATAGTAATAGTCCTTCCGAGTGGCTACTGTTGGTTGGAGGTGTGGTGCCAGTCACGCCCTATAGGTACATCTCACAGTCTCCTTGTTGGGTATTCGATTACGACATTGTTTTGATATCGAATAAGTCATACACATTTTCATATTACAGTATGTAGACAATAATATGCTATTTCGGAGCAAAGAAGAGAAAAACTTCTTCAGAAAAAACTGTTGGGGTTGCAGAGTTTTTAGAATTATGAGTCAGAACGAAGTCGACATTTAGAATAAATCTGCTTATTTCATGCTATGTTTGATTACAGAAAAATTGGGTGTAGAAAATGACAAATTAGACTTGCAAAAAAAATCAAATTCGTCCGAGGTTGAAAAGTCAGTTGTTTTTTTTTTTCGTTTTTCAGCCTAATGCAGTTGTTTGACCTTGAGAAAAAATGACTAATTAGACTGAGGGTCAGTTGGTTTTGTATGTTCAGTCTGGTGCAGCTGTTTGACCTTGAGAAGCGAGAGATGCTGCGTGTGGTGAGAGTGAATGACGCCCTCCTCATCAACCACACCAGTCACATCCTGGGTCACAAACTGTACACTGTGGGAGGGGGCGGCAACCTCTTCTCATTCGGCACCTGCTTCAACAGCAGAGTCAAAATATACTCCGTCCAGGGTACTGTAATTACGCACTACATTCAGATCTTGCTTTTAATCGTGACCACCCATTTCTGCCCCAGACACTTTGGGCCGGAAATTACTGTGTTTTTGGGGCGGAAATTATTGTTTTTGGGCCGTGTTTTGGGGCGGAAATTACTGTGTTTTTGGGGTGGAAATTACTGTGTTTTTAAGCCGCGTTTTGGGGCGGGAATTACTGTGTTTTGGGCGGAAATTACTATGTTTTTGGGCCGTGTTTTGGGGCGGAAATGACTCTGTTTTTGGACTGGAAATGACTGTTTTTGGGCCGGAAATGACTGGTAGCCGTTCTCAATCTCCCCGCCTCTTAGGCATGTACTGTACAACCATTGCTGATAGAAAGTTTGACAGTGAAGAAATTGTGAACCCGCTAGACTATCTTCTCCGTTTGCAAAAAATAGGATTTTAAAAGGATCATTTTTTTCTAATTTTCTTAAAACAAGCGAGCTAACGAACACATTATAATGCTATACAGTGCTGATTTAAACTATCCGGACAAAATGATTTAAACTTGAACTTTAAAACGCGTTTTTCTCAACTTGGGTTGATTTCAGACAAAAAATGATTGAGACCAATCTTGCTTAAAGTTTCAACTGAATTGATATAGTGCAATTTGTTTGCAAAATTCAAGGCCAACAATTTACCCTAAAAACCATCATTCTGTGGCTTTGTTTAGTCAATCAAAAATAACTCCAAAACAGTTTGTTCCTTTATTGACACAATTATATGACTGCATCGGGAGATCGATTCTTCAGGCTTATTTGGCCTTTTCTTTCCTTTATTTCATTTTTTAAGACATTTCAGAGCTCTTTTTTTCATTTTCCAGCCTCTTTGTGAAATGCAGCTTCACCGTGTTTGCGAATCGCAGCTTCGCCTCTGAGTAAAAATATGCGATGGTGTCAAAAATGAAAACTTTATTTGCCAAAGATGACTTGTGAACTTATTTTATTGTGAACTTTTTAGCATTCAATTCCATTTCAGGTATTCTGCGCATGCAGCCCAAAAAGAAACCTGAACCGAATACTACTGACACAAAAAAGGTTAAAATTTGATGTATATTGATTTAAAAAAAAACGAAAATAGTAAGTACTCTTATTTAGGTCTTAGTGATTTTTTTTCAAAAACGTCTAAAAAATTGTTCACTCTCAATTTTGATTTTTTGCGGTTTGACTTGTGATTTCTTTTTAATTCTTCATGCGACCTTGCCTACAACGAACTAATTACGTCTAAGCATATCTGATTTTTGTACCTGGTGACGAATTCCCCCTATTTTGCTGTAGGGAAATAGTTAAAAAGATCCAAACTTGCGAAAGAAGTGTTTGACGATCATCATCTACAGAAACGACTGATTAAGAGTCGATGAACTTGGTGAAGATTCTTATATAGTTAGTGATGATTTTTTAAAAGTTTTTCCAGGAAAAGTATTAAATTTTGTTCATGCTCAATCTAGGTTTTTAGCGGTTTGACTTTTGATTTTTTGAAGTTTAGTTCAGTTCTATTCCTTTGTTTGTTAAAAGGAAGGCAAACCCCACTATCAAACAGCAAAAATGTAGAGGTCACAAAAAACGTCATTAACTTCTAGTTTCTTAAGTGGATTTTAATTTTCAGATTTCGCAGCAAAATGAAAAACTTACCTATTGATCTATTTTCTCAATTGCGTTAATTCTATCAAAAAAGAGTCACTCATAAATTGATCTAGAATTGGTGAACTTGAAAGCCGTCTTCTCCTTATTTACTTTGAGTTTCGATAATTGAGATAAGTTTCAAAAAACAAGTCAGTTTTTTTTCTGTTTTGTGTTCAACGACTCTTAACCAACTGTCTGTTTGCTATGTTGCAAAGCAATTAGTGTCATGAAAACCAAATACTGATTGATAACAGATTGTTCATTATGACATGATTTGTTAAAGTTTCCGTTTAGATATCCAAATTTTAATAATCCTAGAAAAATTGGCACTTTTTGAAAGTAGTTGGAGAGAGGTTTTTGACTATCTTTGTGACCTCCATTCGCATATCGTTATTCAAAAAACAGATTTTGCGAAAATAAATAATATCCACGTCACAATTAACGTCATCGGACACTTATTAATGCCGTTGGTATCGAAGTGGAAAGGAATTTGTCTGCGTGTTTTCTACTTCTTTTCCACGCAAACTCAGAAAACACAAAAAAAATGTCAGACTGATTTGATTGGCATATCAGGTTAAAGCCTTTCATGTTGTGACGAGAACGAAACTTAAAGGTTTCTATACTTTGTTTGCTTTTTTATCCCATTTTGAGCAATTACTGCGAGCGAGTAGCAGTTCTTATATGAAAATCGGGCTTTTAGTTTATGAAAAACGTTGTTTTACTAAAGGAAATTTATTTATGGAAGATTCATGTAACGCTCCCCAGGCACGTTAAATTAAATAGAGAAAAAATGTAGGAAATAGTTTCTTGGTTTTTTGTTTCTCATTTTTTGGTCAACTCAAGTCAATGAAAGGCAATGCTTATATGTAAGTTAATTTTCAAGTTACTCTTTGGTCTTCTCTCCATAAAGCGCACAAAAAGGCACTAAAGTTTGAAAATATGTATTTCTGTAATTGTTTTTAAATTAACTGTGGTCGGAACATTCTGTGCAACTTGCACAGCAAGCGCTTAATCGCGTTTTCTTTGTCTGTTTTTACTGTCTTTCTGTTTTCAATGAGCAAAAAGCAAAATTTTTTAAGTGCCAAGGAACGGAGTTGTTTAGGTTTTATTGAGGTCTTGTGAAATATTTGTTTTTTTTTTGGGAAAAAGTTTTTAAAAGTTATAAGTAGGTAAAAATATTACTTCTCCCAATCTTTAAAATTGGACAAAAAAGACACAAAAAAAGCTTAGCATTGTATTTTTTTTCGGTTTATCGGTGGCTAGTAAATGACGATTTTCAAGCGACCATGGCGCAGATGCTGGGACGAGTCACTCTTAATTTTGAGGTCGGGTTTCGATTACGGCACAAATTAGAATTTAATTAGTTACTCGGCTCTATTCCTTTCCCCCACCTGTAATTTTTTACTAGTAAAGTTACAGTTCAAATTGTCCGGGAAGGAAAAGAGAAAGAGCTAGTTATTTTTTTCTTTTCGTTGTAAATTTTTGACCCTTTTAGAGCTACTTGTTGCCTCCATAGCCAAAATAATCAAGTTTTGATGAAGTTGGATTATTCTAGACAGTGTATCAAAGTTTGAGCCTGAATCTTAAATATTTGCAGAGAAAATGAAAAACCCTTTAAAAATATTTGTTCTTTTGCTCGGCGAAGAAAAAAATTACAAGATATTTGTCCTCGGCTGTAACTTTGACGATTGACTTTTATACGCTCTTTTTTCTTTTGGTGCTTTGACACCTGAAAAGTTGAGAATTGGCGCAAAAAGTCGTTCATCAGTTTTTGTTTCAAAATACCCTAAAATTGAGAGCGCTCAAGTGGGGCGAATTCCTGGTGTTAGACTTATCATAAAGTTTTTTAGTTTGAATCTCTTAGATTAATTTTCAAAAACCTATCAGTTACTTTAGTTTCATAAATTTATCTGACTGTCTGTTGGCTAGTTTTTAGTTTTTTTTTAGAAATGTTCTTAGAAAGGCTAGGGCTTTTACATTCTTTTTCTTAATCACTTCCGTGCTTATAATGGTTATAATGTTGCTTCCGCCCTCCACCCTGTTCCAAATTCATATTGCGTCATAGTTTCTTCTCCGCCTCTTTGGATTAAGTGAAATAAAATACATGCATACTGGTTGAGTAAGAGATTCCTTTTTCAGGGTGAAAATGATGTTCGAGGAGAAGGCAGTGGCAATGAGGATTACGAGAATGTGAGTGCCCAATCTGGAGAAGATAGTGATGAGTCGGACCAAAGTCTAGACACAGACGCCGACGAAGAGGTACACATAAGGCAATGTTCAATCTAAATATGAAAGCAGTTATTAAAATGTACTTCAGAAGAAAAATTCATTTTAAATGGCACTAGAGAAAAATAAAGTTTCGGTAAAACAGCAAATTTTTGAGTTATTTCGAAAATTTTTGGTTTGTAGTCTTGCAATCAGACATTGGAAGCCACTAAGTTTGCTTATAAAATTAATATTTAAGAAATTTTTTTTGTTCCGACTATTTGAAAAATGTGGAGGAACTTTGTATTCGGGTGTGTTGTAGTTTTTTTTTCCTTTTTCACACAAAATCAGATACTACGCATAATCATCGGAATAGGTCGAGTCATGTATCATATAAAAGCCCTTTTCGACCAGTTTGCAATTTTTGATTTTTGGTCTAATTACAAGCTAATAAGGTGAGGGTAAGCAGGCTTACAAAGGCTTATTTATGCTTAATTTAAGCCGTGAAAAATTAGTTTTACACGAGTAAAGTTAGTTTTTGGAACTTTTTTGATTTTTGACGATTTTTTTTTTCGTTTTTCTAATCAATTGTCTACAAAAACTGTTTTGCAATTAGCCTTTTGTAAGGTGGGTCGGAACATTCTGTGCCACTTGCACAGTAACCGGCTATCCTTATTTATATTCAGTCTTGCTAATGTCAAACTGTGAATTCATTTCATTATAATAATTCACCCTTTTTTCAGGCTCTGCGTGCGGCTGAGTTGTTGCGAGCTGAGATAGACGCGAAGATGTTTGGGCCTGCCCAGTGCAGGACTACTCGGAGGGCACGTCGGAATGCACGCAGGCAGTTGGAAGCACTCAACTTAGCAGAACAGGACTCCATTGACTCAGCGGTCATTAGAGATAGGTTTGGTTGGAGAGTTTCTTTTATATCGAGTTTTTGAATAGTATTACTTAGATTTTAACAACCCAAGTTACTGTTTTAGAAACTTGGAATACGAAAATTGAGTATGCAATTCAGTTCAAAGTTCTAGTTTTATTTGAGTTTTGAAATAATTTAATGTAGATTTTGATAACTCAACTTTTTATTTTAAAAACTTCGATTGCAAATTTTTTTTTTTTGAGTTAGCAAATCGTAATGATCAGGCTTAGTAAAAAATCATATAATAACATGATCGTTTTAGTGTTGGTAAAAATGTGTAAGAAAAATATGTTTTTTGAAAGTAAATATCATACGGTGTGTTGTCGAGAAGCTCTGAGATACTTGCATTGGGTCTAGGACAACAAGCCGACGGGACTTCAAGTCGAAGGGACTTCAGGCCAAAAATTAAACTTTACAAGCACCTCAAATCAATATTTTTTCATCTGTACAACGTTGCTGTTCAAAATCTTACGCTAGTTTAGTCCATAATAAGCGTTATTTATGACAATGAATCACTTAGGATTGACATCCGTTAATAATATCAGCCGGTTTTTGAAATGCATAAATTATAAACAAGAAATTTGCCTTAGCCGTGTTTTATTTTTCAACTTTCCTAAACATCATTTGGAGATTTAAATTTCATGAAAACGCTGATAAATACCGACTAAAGATCATGAAAATGAGAAAATCTTCAGAAAAGTGTTCAAATTAATCTTATTTCATGACTTAATGAGAAAATTTTCGGCTTGAAGTCCCTAATTTTACGATTCGGCTTGAAGTCCCGTCGGCTTGATGTCCGGCACCCACTTGCATTACCTACCAAGCAATGCTTCAAATTATTTCACTTTCAGAAGTCTGGGCGAGCACGGAGAAGTCAGAATGGCAATTGACGGGATCACTCTCGACTCAGAAGGAGGTCAAGAAAGAGAAGGAGGGTCAGAAGGGGAGAAGGAGCGGGCGGGGAGTGAGAGGGGGGCTGATTACTCTTTCGGGGCCAAAGAGGAGAGACTTGCCAAGGGGGGTCGGGTTAGGGAAGAGCGACTGGTTCTCAAACCCAAACACAAGGATGACATATACGTATTACAGATTAGCCAGGTCAGCTCTATCTAATTCCTAATTAATCTCCAGCTCAATGTTTAACTCATTATTGTGCAATTTTCTTCAATTAGATTTTTATCTTCAGTTTTTTTTTGTTGCTCAGGACATAAAAGTTGCAAATTTTTGCCTTTAACGAGTAAACGAGCGGTTTTTTCTTCAATTTTTGCCGTGTTCTCAACAACTATTAAAGATATAGGATTGAAATTTTGACACATGCTAGATGAAACTATTTGGGAGGAGCTTACGTGATCACGTATAGAGAAATTTTGATTTTATTGGGTGAAATAGCCAGTAAATCATAATTAGTTTCAGAGGTGTTCTTGCTCTGGAAACATCCTGAATAACATCACAGCGAATTTGAATTTTTGGGCTCAAATTGCTTCTTATTGAAGCAGATGAGCGTCACTTAGTCATTAGGCCGCGGAGAAACGGCAGACAAAAGAATTTGCCTTTGTGTTTTAGGAAAATGACGCGGACGTTGAAAATAAGAATGCGAAGAATGAAGCGGTTGTACCGTCATCGCCCGTGCTTAAAACTGCCAAATTTGTAGTGGAGAAGCCACTTAAAGGTTAATCAGTTTAATTAGTTTAATGCTAAACGTCCTGAAAGTTAAAATTAAATCAGTTAAATCGTGAGTGTGGAAACTATTTTTTATACTTGTGACAGTGAATTTTTACTTGAGTAATTCATGTTGTTTATTTGTTTAAGTAGTAACGAACAAAGTGAATTGTCACATACAAAGCTTGTTTGTGATTTGTTTTTTTTTTCATGAGACTTCACGCACATTTTGAATTAACGTTCTCCAAGAACAAAAGCGGAAACGACGTAAAATGGGGTTCGACTTTCAGCTACAAATATGAACTTGGTTGGTACAATTGTTTACGATGTTTCCAAGAAATTGACTTGGGACATTCGGTTTATATTAAAGAGATTCATCGTTAAATTTAAAACGAGATGGCTTATTCCATAAAGTCGGTGATTTATGGCAGATAGGCACCTATTTGAATTTAAGCCCATATTCCTATTTTCGAAGCAACTTAATTCCATTCATCTGTTTCAGTAAAAGCTAAAGTTAAGGTTAATGTAAATAAGTTAAGGTATATTGTGAAAAACTTTTCGTCTGGTCTAAAGAAGAATAAATCAAAAGAAAATTGAAAAAAAAATTGTTTAAAGTTAATTTTTCTTAATTGAGGTCGTAACTATTGTATTGCTAAAAGCTCATTTTGATCTCTTCTCTTCATGCACAAAAATTACGCAAATTTAAAAATTAAATTAAAAAATAATTTTTTTTTCAAAAATAACTGTGATAGGAATCTTTTGTGTTACTGGCACAGCTAAGGCCATTCTTGTTTTGAATTATTTTTCTGCTTTTTCATTGTTGAATGCAACAGCCAGTAATCTGGTAATCTGAGTTGCAATTAAAATTTTAAATTGTCTAGTTTTGATGAAAATCCGGTTTTAATAATTGAATGACCCCCTTTCAGTTAGGAGTGAATAAAATTAAGTATTAAAGCACCAGCTATTATTCCGCAAGAAGCTACAATTACCTTTGCGATAAGGTAGGGTATTAAAATCGGGTACTCGATTTTTTTTCCCGTGAATAACTTTGTCCACAGGTCTCATTGGACTCCTGATGTACCTTTCTTCATAGTGAATTCAAGTTTTGCAGTCTCTTGCACACTTAGCCTAGTAGTAACCAATACGCCTAGGACGGCGAAGGTCCTGTGTTCGAATATGGCCAGGACTACTTTTTTTCAAACGGTAAATATTCCGAATCAATAAAATTTCGGATTATTTTTTGTAGGCTTTGTTGCCACATCTAATAATCGTATATTTTAGCTGTAACAAATTCTCACTGCAGTTGTTTTTAGCAATTTAAAAATCCGGTCGAATCGAAATTTGCTTTTTACTTTGGTTGCACTTTTACCAGCTCGATTTGTTTAAAAAAAAATTCTTTTTTTTTCTTCATTTTTTGTCTTTCCTATCGGCTTAATAATTTTCCGCTTAATTAATATGGACCTAGTGGCCTCTTTTTGCGTCGTTACGACCGAAATTTTTTTTTGCGCGTGTGTATGTGCTCTGAGGTTAAACGGGACTTAACATTTTTATAAGTTAAGAACTTTTTCGACATGAAGGGTTTCTGCTCAGGTATTTTCGGCCTTGTTACCGCTTGGTAATTAGAATTTCAAATCCAATCAACCGTCCGGTGCATCTGGCTTAGAGGTAAAACAGCAGTTTTAGATGTCAAAGGCTTGGGGTTCGAATCGGGCATGGCTCTTTTTTGCAAACTAGAGTTTTTGTGATTTTTCTGGCTATCGTCCCTCTGTTTATTTTTGTCGGCTTGGTTCCCGTCGCCCGATGGTTCAGCTTGATTCCAAGTTTTAACCCCTATATTTGAAACGACAAAGCCCGAGAGTTTGATTCCAGTTGAGAACTGTTTTTTGCAAATTGAAAATTTTGGCATATTTAGATTTTTGTCTATCTGCCTTCTTAATAGCATTCCCAAAGCTCTTTGTAGAGTTTCTAAATCTAATGGTGCAGGCAATTTTATTCCGGATGTTTTCGGCTTATGTTTCAATTTTTATTGACAAAACGAACGATTTTTTGAAAATTTCATTTTCTTACGTTTGATTTTTATCATAGTCATTCATATTTTTGTCGCAAGAGCTGCGAAGCTCAGCTTCGCCTTTGTGTTGACCTTCTATGGAGGCTAAATGATTTCCCACTGTCATCAATTCCTTTCCCCGATAACAAACTACAGAAAGGAAGTTAAATATTTAAATAGAAGAAAAACAACGCTGCGTTATACAAAAATATCCAAAATAACTGTCTTTGTTCTAGATAGAAGACGCCGGAAAAAGAAGGCTGCTCACAAGTCCAGATCCAAATCCCCGGGTCGCAGTGGAGTCGGGGAGTCTTCGGAGTCAGTCGTGGGGAGTGTGCAGATAATCGACACCAGTGGAGAGAAGTCAGATAGCAACAATGAGGGGGGCAAAAATATAAGAGAGAAGAGTCCCCAGTCGAGCAAAAAGAAAAAGAAAAAGAAAGCGCATCGTAGCAGGACGCCCAGTCCAAACGAGGACTGAAAGCGACAGAAATGCAAAATTTTTAAACGATGTTGATGATAAATGTTATTATTGAGATGGTTTTTGTTTTCTGAATCAAATTTTGCCCTCATTTTTTGTTTACGGTGGCGAAAGTTGTAGTAGCAGAATATTTTTTAAGTCCTCCCTCTCTAAAATTTCTCCCTTTTCGTATAGAAAAGTTGTTTATGAGTTTTCATGATAAGTTGAATTGCAAATTAACATTCAATGAGGTTAGAATTTTTCGTTTGTTTGACCATCGACTGGGCAATATCCAGAGCCCTTGAAGGAGAAAAACTTGGAATTGCATTAGACGATATGGTTGATGCGGATCTGGATTTTGCAGATAACATCTGCCTGCTCGACAAAACCCGACAGACGCACAGAAGTTTCTTGATCAAGTGGCCGAAAACGCAGCGTACGTTGGACTTGAAGTAACCAGACCAAGCTCTGCTCTCACAGCGATGTCCAGAAATTTACTGTCAATAACCAAGAGTTTAAAAGAGAAAAAGTTTTTTGGGAAGTAGAGTCCAACTGAATGGCGATATATCAAAAGATGTCAAAACCCAGAGAGGAAACGAAGGTCAAAACCCGGATAAGATTTGGAATCGAGGAAAGTTTTGATAGCAAAGAGTCCAAAATCTACAGCCTGCCTCAGAAAATTTTTGCTTCATGAGCAAAGAATTTGATATCAAACGGAGAGTGAGTGGATCGAATGATGCGAAGAGATGGCACAAAAAGGAAGCAGTTGAGAGCGTTGTTTCTGGATACCACTGCGGCGGGCAACAGGCAGCCTTGTCTCAAGTAGCCCGACCTGGGCATAGAGATTCTTTCGTTGTGTTAACATAATTGTTGGCAAGTAAAAATACTCCTACTTCTTTTTAATTTGCAAAACCAAATGTTAAAAACCGTTTCGAAAGTTACAAAAGAAAAATTCCACAAGTTCCAAATAGTGATGTTGGTATCTTGCTATTTGTATTGCAGAGTTTGGCATTGTTTTGGTTTTTTCACTTTAAAATGATGTTTAAACGTAGATTACTTCGCGATTTTTGGCTCCGGATTATTTGTTTCTATTTTCAAAATTGGTTACTGAATATTAAAGACAAACACCGGCCTAATAGCATGTGGTCTTATCAGAATTTCCTTCTAAATAATGTATTTTGTCTGAATGAGGAATGTAATTTCCTGTTTGAATAAAATGAGTTTTTATGAAATTGTATGAGTAGTATATGTTGGAGCAACTCGTTGGGCGTAGGGGCTGCTGATCCCCATGTATTAACACAGGCTGTAGAGTATCCGGTCAGTACCCTATCTATTAACGTAGGGAATAGATTTCACAATGTATTAAGATAGGTTATAGGTTTCAGATGGTAAGTTTCGAGAAAAATTCTGGTTTTCGAAAAATGTTTGGCGCCCGATGTGCCAATACAGCAATGTTTTCAGACGGGAAGTTTGAAAATCTGATGTATTAAGATAGGGTAGAGATTTCCCAATGTATTAGGATAGATAATAGCTTTTAATTGGTAAAATAGTAAATTTCGGGGAAAATTTTGGTTTTCAAAAAATGTTTGGTACTCGATTTTGCCGATACAGCAATTTTTAAAAACCAAACGGGAAGGTTAAAAATCCTAAGTAACATTAGATTTCTCAACGTCTTTTAATTAGTTTCAAATAGTAAGTTTCAGATGGTAATTTTTTTAGAAAAATTTTCAGAAATCTCAAAATTTTGGCTGCTGAATAGTTAGTATCATGTTAAGATGAGAGAAAAACTAAAAAATTTGATCTAAGCCGAACCCATGCTGACACTCCCGAATTATCGGAACAATCTTCAAAATTACCATATTTTTTGAACAAGTAATTTAAAATGCTTCAAATTAGAATCAGCAGCTACCCAATTTTTCCATTTAACACTTTTCATGTGTTTTCTTAACAGGTTTTTTGTCAAGTAAAGGTTAATTTAGTTATCAAAACCATTTCCAACCATCAATAATTCGAATCTTCCTAGTTTTTTGTCAATGATCAAAATCAATGCAAATTCTAAAAAAAGTTCAAAATACTTGCTAAATTGACACAAACTCATATTTTATCCAAGTGTTTATCACAATTATCATAGTATTTCAACATGGGAAATAATGGAAGAACTTTCGGTTTAATTGCACTCTTGTACCTCAACTCCAAAGATCTTCTGCTTATCAAACTGTATTAGTTTTGAACGGATCTTGGTAAAAGCTAAACATAAGCATTTTAGAAATTAGTTATATTTCAGCTAATTTTTTTTCATAACTGTTTATAACCTCTCTTTTGCTTCTACAAGATAGTTTTATCATGCTTTTTCCAAAGAAGTCTAATGTTCTAATTTATTTCCTGCTTTCTGCTTTATATATGTCTCGCTAGTGAACTCACTTTGCATGAAAATTTAGGCAGCACAAAGGAATTTAGAGATAATATAGTATCAATTGACCGAACAGTTTGCTGGTAGAGATTAAGTTAGTGGTAAACCTCAAACGCCGGAGTAATGCCTTGCATTTTAAACAAAATTACATTAAGCAGATAAAATTTCTCTAATTCAGAAAGTACTTTGATTTTTGTCAGCAGAAAAACATTTTTTCTTAAAAATACTAAATACTTAAAAAACATTCATAAAGTCTTTTTAATCTTGATTTTTTTCAAAATTGCCAAACACCGGTTAACTGAGAAAGAATTGAAACCATTTAAAGCATTCAAAAAAGAATCGATAAGCACATGGTAGAAAAAGAATTTTTAGGTGACGTTATACGAAAAAATAGATGAATGAAATCAGAGCAAATCTAATGGATATTATCTGAAAGTTTTTGTGGCAGACCTTTCTTGGGAGTTTCATAACTGAAATACAAATAGAGTTTTGCAAGAAAACTAGGCTTTCTGCTTTTTCTTAAGTCTACCAAAAATATCTTAAATATCGAATCAATTGAGAGAATAAACATAATTTTAATCCAGCTCAACCTATGATAATTTCTCTAAAAAAATTTTACAGCCTTTTTTTATATATATTTTTTAACAAAATAAATAAATGTAGATCTTGAAAGCAATTTTTAGATTTATGCGTCATATATCTTCCATAGGAACTATTGTTGCTTGTTTTCAACAAAAGTTTTTGATGATTTAGTGGAAAAATGTATCAATTGAACGAACATTTTTGAGTTGCTTAGTGTGAAAGAAAGAAAGCAACATAATTCATCAAAGTTAACAAAAACTCCAATGAATTACAAATAATTACCATATTTGACTGTTTTTAAGCTGGAAAACTATCTTTGCAACCATCGTTACAAAATCCAAAGCAAAGGTGACACCAAAAACTCCATTTGCTGAGAACCTTTGGAAAAATTTCTGAACCAGATAACTCTATGTTCTTGCTTTAAACCTAATTTTTAATTTTGAAGTAGGTTTCAAGTGCAGTCGTATGTATATTATCATCTGGAAATGTTCAACGTCGAACAAAATTATCCAAATGTTCATCTTTTTACTGTCAGTTATCAAAAACAACAAAAAAATTATGACTTTCGATGAATAAGCCATCATTTATCTGCTTGAGAACGCGCTACTCTATGAACTGAATCAAAACACTGAACTAGGAAGTTTACAAAAAGATAGATAGGCAAAACGAATCAACTTTTCGATGATATATAGTTATCCGCTACTTTTGTTACAATTTTTTTTTAGCAAAAACGTATCCATTTAATAGCTCATTCGTTTTTTAGTGCAGTTTCTGTAAAATAAATTCCCGTAAGCAAGCCGCCAATGCAGTTCTCTGTCGATTTAAAATTTTTGGATCGATTTCCATTGAGAGTTCACAAAAATTTGAATCCGGTTATCACTCGAGTTGGTTTTATCATCAATCCGAACCTTTGAACAAAAGCATAAAAAAAACAATTGAGAAATGCGTTGAAAATATTTCATAGTATTCAGTAGAATTTTTTTAAAATAAAATTTATCAAATTACTAGAACTCTATCAAAACTGTACAGATATCTAGATTTTTTCAGGCTGCAATATCTCATATAAATTTTTATTTGCTATGTTTAATATTTTTAATATAAATGTTCGATCGTACTTTCTCGTGGAGTGTGTTCGGAGCTTAATGAGCTTGTTTTGCATAACACCTTGAATAACATTATTTTGACTAGTAAAAGCTAATTATCCTATTAATTAAGATATGGAATCGATTTCTCAAGGTAAGGTCCTATAATTAGTTTTAGAGTTAGTTAGTTTTTAGTTAGTCTATATTTAGTTCTATAGTCTATAGCTCTATAATTAGTTTTTAGTATCAGAGTAAGTTTCAGATGGTAAGTTTTTGTGCAAACATTTCAAGTTTTCGGAAAAAATCTCAAGTTCTTGAAAAAATCTAAATTTTTGGAAAAATTTTTAGAAATCTCAAGTCTTTCACATGAAATCAAATAAAAAAAAAACAACAGTTATTATGTGAAAAAGCAATTTTTTTGAATAATTGGTGTCATGTTCAGACAGTGACACAAAACTATGGTTAAAAATTCTACTTTTTTTCGTTTTTCCTCAAAAAGAAAGAAAAACTAAAAAATTTGATCTATTTTAAGATAAAAAGCTTATTTTATAGTGTTGTGACTCAGCATCTATCCATTTTTTCCGCTTTCTTATCTGTTTTTAACAGGATTTTTGTCAAAATAAAGGTGAATTTAGTTATCAAAACCATTCCAATTGATCAATAATAACAATAGTAAGTGAAATTTTCTGATAAAATAAGTTCTTGATTCGAATCTTCCTAGTTTTTTTGTCAATAGTTATAGTGTCACGCTAGTCAATTCACTTTGCATGAACATTTAGGCAGCACAAAGGAATTTAGAGATAACAGCGTATCAATTAAACGAACTATTTGGTGGTAGAGGTGAAATTAATCGAGTAACTACCCTCAGCAGTAATACAATTTTGTTACCAATAACAATCGAATACTAACAAAATATTCGTAAAGTCTGGTTTTAATATTGATTTTGGTGCAAAATTTTATATACCGGTTAAGTGAGAGAGAATTGAAACCATTTAAAGAATTCAAAATCGAATTTATGGTAGAAAT